GCAGGCTGCAGAAATTTTGGAAATTCGAAAATTCGTCAAGCTTTAAAAGTCTTTCATTAAAATTAGCAACGATTAGTTTTTGGAGCTGAAAGTGATGGCACAATGAAATTACCTGGTTCTAGCGACCAAGACTTTTTTTTCGTACAGTTTTTGACATGCTAGTTTTCAGTGTTATTTAAAGCCGGAAACTCTCATCATCTCTGCCAAGTCGAAACGAAAAGAGCCGAGGAAACTGGCTATGTGTGTAATCCAAAAGAATCCCTGCAGGGGGATTACGAGCATCCCCATGATTCGACGCGAAAGAGTTCCATCCTGGCTGAAAAGGGGGAGAAAAAGATAAGAATAGTCGCTCTTCACTCTGATTTTTTTTTCCTTCTCTCCACGTCGTCGTCGTCGTCGTCCCGTGATATCTCCGCGTGTCCTGAGGGGGGGATGATGGTTGGCAACGCTACACGCGTGACGACAACGCCGAGGAAGTGTCGATGCCCAAGTCAACGGGAGGCTCGCTTAGATAACACGCTGTCTTGAGTGGCTCTTTTCCAGCTTCCGCGCGGGTTTTTCCAGGAGTTCATTTTTCCCAAACACACACACACGACGACGCTGTCGATGCATTTCCTTCCGGTTTCTCTTTCTCTCTGTCTTTCTCGCCGTCGCCTTAGGAATTCAGCAGAGTACAGTATTGCCGTGTTTGTATGCAGGCTGTTCGTCATTGACGCGAGAAAAAGGGGTTTACGAGGTTCAGAACTGAAGTTTCCGCTGCAGTTTGAGGAAGAGGAAAGAACGAATTATGTGTTGAAATTCAGGAGGTAATTCTTCTTCTACAGTACAGTACTTACAAATTGGTTCAATAACTTGTTGGGAGAAAAAAAAAAAGCCATCGCGAAGACTATTTCTGTCAAAACTGACGTTTCTGCGTTGTGCTGCCGGTGTTTATAACGAATAAGAGAGTAAAAAGAGCTGGAAAAAGTTTTCTTCGAGATGGATTTCCGCTTCTGAAATGCCTTCAATTGATCAAACAAAGGGGAATATGGCTGTGAATCAAGTCTTGGCTATTTTTTTCTGGAAGATTTGCTTTTTTTTCTTACAAAATGACAAACGAAAACGCAGAAACGTTCAATACCATCCAACAAGTTTTCTCTACGACGGACTCCTCCTGAAAAAGGAAAGATTTTTTATTACAAATAATGATGACATTTAGGAAACGGAATTCTTCTATTATCAGAAATATTTTGATCGATTTTCCGTCTAAAATGGTATAAGTATTGCAGAAACTTCTTCTTCAACCCTCACATGTGTTGCATCATTTCGTCCGCGGGGAGGCTTCATTTCATACCCCCGGGGGAGGGGGTCGATGCATACTGAAGTTAATTTTTCACCCTCTTTTTTTTCCTACTTCGTCGTTGCCGTGATGACGGGGCTTCAAAGGCTGTCTGAGTTATGAAGTTACGTTATTGACAATTCTGTATGCGGTGTATGGTATTCATGATAGCTTGCCGAAGTACCGTATTTTTCTAATATGAGACCTCTCCATAGATTTTATTCTTCGAAAATGGAAGCAGCAAGGTGCGCTTTCAATGTAATGTAACCAATTTCTACAGAATTGAAGAGAAGCTTTCGATCCCACTCGAGTCTTGAGTTACTGGCTGAATCCCCTCAAACACTTCAAAATAGAAATTGTAATTCTGACAATAGTTGTAAGGATTGTGAAATTAAATTTGAACTTGACGCATTCCACTCGCATGAGTGCATTTTTTTTTCTCAAAGCTATCATGCAGTTACATGAATATAGATTGTCTTCTTGCTGCGTCCTACGTATGAAATTTGAAAACTCTGATTTCATTTTTTCAAGAATGCTTTTCGAATGTCCGTGATCTTGCCAAACGATGATCAGCGCTCGAGAAAAGTTCGTTCTGTTTTATCTGAAGCACAGAAAAGTTTTAGCTGATACTGAGGAAAAATTGTAAAGTACTGTGCTAAAAGATGACTCGAAAAATCCATTGACTTATCCACGTTATTAATGTGTATCCAGCACTATACCGTAATTTTCATTTTTCCTCATTCAAATGAATACTGTAATCCGTTCTCAAGAATTACCACTCGCCTTCTGTTTAATCTTCTACATTTTTAACACGCGCGAATGAGAACCTGATGACGATGAATGCACAGTACAGTAGCTGGTCTGGGTAATACGAACCCCCTCTGGATTAGTCGGGAACTGAACGCGGAACTCAGACGCGGGGAGGCGAATGCTTGGAAGAATTGTCAGGAGGAATTATGAGGAGAGGCGTTGAGAAAAGTTGGAAGGAAAAAAATATATATGCACAGTATAAACGGAACCGAATGCATTTTATTCTCACGTCAAGCTATTCCAACTGAAGGGTTTCCTTCGCCTTGTCTGCGAGTCGAGGCCACTTCTGATCCCGGAGAAGTCGAGACAAAGATTTTCTGCACGTGATGTCTTGCAAGGGGGAGAAGCCTGTCAAGTGGCGCTGAAGATGCGCTTTGTGAAGTGAAACTGTGGCCGAGACTTTCCCGAAAAAGATAAAAAGAAAATTGTATGAGAAAAAGCGTGGTGTCAGTTCTTTCTGTGCGTCGCTCTCTCTCTGTCTTTGTCTTCTCTGCCGTGTCAGTTAATTAATTTAGCCCATCCAAAGCCTTCATGTCTCATTTTTTTCCACTCTTTTTTTTTTCTTCTCCTGTCGATCTCTATTCGGCCTTCTTGATTTTATTTTCTACATGCTGTTCCTCTTGATTTGCTCCTTTTCGTTGCTCCCTCACAATTTCTGCTCTTCTATCACATCTGCTAGCGAAGTGGCTGAGACTTTCCCAAGAAGCAAGGAAACGTGATGTCAGTTCATTCTCTCCATATCTCCAGAATTGTTAATCGATTAACTAATTTATCCCATACCTCCTTCGTGTCTTTTTTTCTCTTCTTTCTAAGTCTTTTTGTTTTTTATCTGGTCCACTTCCCTGTGTTTTTTGTTGTTGTTTCAATGCGTACTACCTGTATCTGTCTTTCATACTTTAGGCAATTTAACTGTTGATATAGAGTTGGTTGTCGATTTTCTGAGCGAGTGTTTTGTGTGTGCTTCCCCTCACGCTCTCAGGTTGTATATCTATGCACATATTGATTCAAACTGTAGGAGAAAAGCTGTTCTGAGGAAAAATCTTTAGTTATTCCATCCGTCCCCCCCCCCTTTTTTTGTGAATCAATTAAAGTAATCCCCTCCGCAAATCTTGTCGAATTCTTCCTTTGATCTTGTCTCTTTTTTTTACTTTTCTCAGTAATCTTCGCTTGCTTTTTGTCTCCCGTTGTACAAGTGAACTTTCTTCGCAACAATTTTCTCTTGACACAGTTTTTCCGTAGGGGTTATTTAAAAATTTAATAGGGGTTCTTCGCAACGAAATTTTCTCTTAAATGCATTTTTCTGCTCTTCTGAATTTCGTTGTGGAGAGAGAAAGAGTGCACCTATATGCTTTTGTTCGATTTAATTTTTAAAATTCCCGTCTGAGTTTGCATCTTTATGCAGGTAAAGTAACGCTGCGGCGGAGAATCGTGAGGGAAAGGAAAAAAGTTTTTGATTTTTCTTCTTTAGTGGTTTATAAATTTAGCCTCCCGTTTTGAGTCTTGTTTCTAACATTTACGATACCTCTCCGTCTTCTATATGGTCCCCTCGACTTTTCTCATTCATCCCCCTCCTGCTCCTTGTCTGCCTTGCCTCATTGCACGTTTTCTCTGCTTCTGTATTCTGTTTCATGTTGTCTAGTTTTCCTCGCCCTTCGTTTATCTGTAACTTTATCTGTCTCGCACGTGTGACGATGAAAATTGGACGGGGATTTTTAAAATTCGATTATGTTGGGTGCGTTGACGGTGTTAGCCGGTTGAGAAGAGATATTTTGGTCGACGCGTCGCGTGGCCCATGATCTGATTAGCCCACCGCGAAGATGATCTCTTTTTTTGTGCTGCGTTTTATCATAATTTTTTTTTTGCGAACCCTTTTTGAGCTGGGAAGGCCGTGTGGTTGGGTTACTACAGAAGGGTTTCTTCTGCCTTGTCGCTTCTGGTTCGTGTCAGCCAGGAATGTTTCAAGATTGGTGCGAAATGTAGATGAGGTTCTCGGGATTCAGTCGACCGAAGAATCTGTCGTTCCTAGACATCTTCCGGTGATTATCTTTCCCGCCGACTTAGTGTCTATGTGATTCTTCGCTGTTTCTCAGCAAAGAAAACGAAGTACTGTACTGTATTCTACGTATTGAGCATATTCAAATTTATTTTCGAATGATACAATTCTTCATGGAGAATTCTTTTGGTCATTGTAAAGATGCCGATCTCGCAGTTAGAACCCAGTGGGTAATCTGGATTCTGATGAACGGGGCATCCAATGAACCGTGTCGAAATTTAAATACACATAACTATACCTTTTAACCTTGACTTGAGTCGCCTAATTTATGCTACAGTATTTTTAAATTTTTAAATGCTATTTTTTGTTTGACGATTATTCAAACGAACGCATACCTAGGTTTATGAGATTGACGGGAAAATTAGTTTGAGTCATCCTGAAATTTTTTTAACTGTCAAATTTTATGTTGTGCTAGTATTGAATTATGTATTGTATACGTCTTTTGGATCACTTCAGGCATGGTTAAAGCACCCGGTTATTATTTCGTGTAACCGGAGATCTTCTTGCATTACGTTGAATATTTTCCTGTCTGTGCTCATTTTTTGTTGATAAATTTCAAACTCAGTTCGCACATAATTGGGTGTTAATTTCACGCCTATTTTTCGATAGACGTTCGAAACATAGCTTCGATTTTGACTAGAGTTGGGTCTAGAGCATACAGTTCGAACCAGTTTGACATTCCTGCCAAAGAAGCGGAAATTTCAAATAAGAATCGGATCAGAATATTTTAGCACTGTTTTATGAATTGATTCGAGTGATCATAGTAAATGTAGGGGTCGGTGTATCCGTGTAGGAGTAGTCCGTGTGCTTCTCGTAAAGATGGAGACTGTAAAAATTGTTGGGTTGTACGGAAGGGGTTCCGGGGCATTGCACTTCCAGGGCGGGTTTTCGCTGCAGACTGCTCATTACCCGGGTAACAGGGGTCCAGGCAATAAAATGTCAGCCAGCTGTCGCAGCTTGTGACGTGACACGTGACTTGTCCAGCGAGCCGTCGAGGAATGAAGATCTCGGAAGCAGCCACGCGGCTCAAGTTACGATTGAATCTCTTTCTAGAACGAAAACACAAAAGCAAATGTCGACAGGAAAATTTACTAATCTCTCCAACGTGGACGGGGAAGGGTTTTTTTTTCTGGTTCGCCTTGGACATTTTATTTATTTTGTCTGTACAGTCATTGAGCGTTATCCAAAGTATCCTTTGGGTCGAATTAACGTGTGTCTTGAGTATCACTTGCTCGAAACAGCGAAAGTAAACTTTTGCGACCCCTCGTAAAATGTAAAATCCCGAACAGTTATCTTCTCTCCCACAGTGATATTTTGTTGTAAAGTTTTGCAAAAATACTGTGATTCATATATACAGTAGTTTTAAGTAAAATAATGAATAGAACCACGGTATTAGCTATCTTTCGATCACTGATAATTTAAACGGTTGTGTTTTCGTCTTTTTACTTGCGCGTGGTTGTAAAAGCCCAGAGGGAGAAAATTCAAGTAAAGTACAGTACAAAGTTCGTGATTTTTTTTTTTCATGTGCCTAGGTGGAATTTTTGTAACCTCGCGTTATTGTTTATTGTATCCATTCCTGGAGTATCAGTTCCGATCCGAGAGGGGGTCAGTGGATGATTTTCTCCTGACATTGGCCAGACACCCATCGCTGTCTGTTCTTATCACACGCATCACACTTCTGTGCTCGGTTTCATTTTAGCGAATGCCTTGGGAAGGGCTCTGTTCGAAGTGTGAGTTGATACAAGGGGAGGCTTTGATTGACAACATCCTTTCCAACACGCAAGTCCTTTCCATTTTCCGCCGTTTCTCCTCCCCCTCTTACATTTTCACCTTCTCACGGACGCGATCGCCGCCTGTCGTCGCTCCCGGTTTTAATTCGATTCCGCCAAGATTTATGCATTTGGCGTCGAGTTGGGGTGGAACAGACCATAACCGGGGGGAAATAGACGGCGTTGACACACGGTCGCTGGGAATGTTCTGTTTCCCCGCGTCATCGGAGAATTTTGTATTCTTGTCCGGGCGCAGCCAAGTGATCTAATTTCGGGTGTTGTGTGTGTGTGTGGTGTGGTGTGGGAGAGAGAGAGAGATGCGTGTTCCGCCGGTTGCGGGGATGATGCGGTGATTCGATTCCCCGGCCGGCTTTTGTTGTCGCCCTCCGATCCTCACTGCTGCTTGTGTCGCCACCGGCTTGGAGAGCAGGGGAAAATAATGCGTTCCTGCTTGCTGATTTCTTTTCTTTTTCATCACGGTATTTTTCTATTCTGTTTTTTTTCCTTTCTTTCCCACTGCTCGAATACTGCTGTGCCCTGGAGATAGACTAGCTCAGAGGTCCTCAACTTTTTTTTTTTTTTTTCGATTCGCGGAACCCGTTATGGGATAACTTTCCAATTTCGGAGCCCATTGCGCGTATTATCATTTTTGTGGTAAATAGTTGTGGTATCCCCCTTGAGTTCGAGATGGAGGACTTCACCTTATATTTGTGGGCGGTAATTTTTGAATCTGAAACGTATTATTTCATGTATGAACGTTAGTAATGGCTCCACTTCTGAAATCGGTCAGCCCAAGCATGAAGAACTCATGTGTTCTAGGATGAATTTCGTTTTGCCGAATTATCCTCGTGTGAGACGCGTTTTCCCTGGAAAACGCTACATAGTAAAGTACAGTAATTGATTTAATTTGTTCTAGACACTCACCAAATGACCATAATAAACTATAAAAGTCGGTGTATTTTTTGCATAAATTTCATGTGTAAAATTGATCCGTGCGAAATTTACGAAGCATTCCCAAAGTGAAAGAGGTTAATTTTTCTTCACAAAAAAAAATGCATAACCATGAAATACTTTCTCGAAGAATAAAAGAAAAACAGACATTTCAGAGGAGTTGACTGTTTACTGAAGTACTGTAAAATGGTTTGTTTTGTGCAATTTTTGCTGAATGCTTTTTGTAGTACAGTAAGCACTTCCTTTCTGGGTGATTTTCGTATTGTTGCGTTTACTTCGCCTGATTCGGAGATTTTAAGTTATGTTCGAAGAATGACTGCGAGTGTGTATGTGTGATGTTACTTATAATGATATACTGAACCGTGCAGTACTGTATATATACTTTATAGTATATCATCTGCTCACTGTGAGGTCTTCCGGAAACGACCATTTTCTCTATGATTATATTTGACAAATGGATTCAGTGAAATGGTTTATTAACTTACCTCCCAACTTGGCTCTCGTACCTCGTATGATAATGCGACATGGCGACGATAATGGGGCAGCTTCAGTACTGTTGATGGTATACGCTTAAGCGAGACGATTTCAGCTGCGGTCGTGTGGCACATAAATCCTAGTGCCTCGTGCAGATCAGAGGCGTTTTGTGGAGTCGAGGGACTGTCGGTTGTCTCCTCCTCTGCTGCTGCTGCCTCTTGATGCGGAATATGGATGAAGAAGACTGGTCTTTTTCATGGAATGTGTCCTCTGGCCCCCTCCTCTTCTTTGTGCCTTTATGTATGAGGAGGAGGCCGTCGCGATTGGAATTGACGGTTAATGGGCAATTGTGGGTGAAATATCGGAAAGCGGGGCGACATTCTCTGCGAATTCGGGTGTTTCGCTGCTTCGTGGACTCACCCAGCTTCCGGAAAGAGGGTTGGGGGTGGAAGATTACGTGCCATTTCTTCCCGGGGTGTGGTCTTTCTCTTGGTTCTTTTGTGCAATCGATTAAACCGGGAAATTAATTCCGGTCCTCAACAGTTGTGCTCGTGTTCACTTGACTCGATGTTTGGATCACAAATGATCAACGAGATGATTTAACTTTTCGCCCTTTTTATGAGTTGCTTGAACGGGAAATGCGAGCCTCGATCATACTCAGGCTTGAGCGAAAAGATCGCATGAGTTTGAGTGCTTGCGGCAAGAGGAAGTAGAAAACAGCTTTTGCTACTCACCCCTTTCGGAATTTTGCAATCCATGCCCCTAAAAGTAAAATAATACTGAGAAATTATGTCTTTTTCTGCCGTTGAAATCGCGTTTCCCTTTGTTCTGCCTTTTTTCCTGGATGTGTTGCATTTCTGATTGTAGGGAGAGCCATTTATCGCTTTTTACGATGAGTCAGTTAGAGGAATTGGAAATGAAGGGGTTTATTACAACTTCCCGACTCAGCAAGGAAAGTGTGTTTGAAAAGCCACGTTTTGCGTATTTAGAACTCATTTTTTTTACTGAAGTATTCTCTCATGGCACTTCGTGAGGGTTACCAAAAATTATGCAGAACACCTTAGTACAGTACTGTGCATTTAATACCGGAATCTTTTTTTGTTGTTGAAGAAATAACCGTTGTTTTCTTGGTCGAAACGTGTGTGACGGTCTTTCTTGGATCACCACGAATACTGGATATGCGGTTGGCTTTATATCCAGACTCCAGCGACCCTTTCCTAGTCGAGGAGCAAAAAAGCAGCTGGACGATTAAACACACACATACAGAGAGACTCTCTATCTCTCTCCCGAAGCACCGATGTAATGCTTGCGATAAATGAAAACTTGAAAGTTTGTTTTTTTCAATATTATAGAGCTGTATTTTTATTTGAAAGGGGAGAGGGGATGGCGAGGGTAGGGAAATTCCCATGGAAAAGCGAAGGAATATCCCCAGGGAATAAGAAAACATGAGCTGTTCACCTCCCCACAGCCGCTTATCTCAGGGATCCCTCAGCGCGACGGGGATTCTTCTCGCTGATCTCCCCGAGCAGCAGCAGCAGCAGCCAACGTCTTCTTCAGGATATTGCAGACGACAGTCGCGTTGCCCTCGGGTTTCTGTTCCGGATTTTCCGTCTCCCTTGGGGTAATTTATGTGCCCCGTCGTTTCTTTCATCCTATACCCGCCCCCGACGCGCACGTGAATGCTCGTTTTGTCTGTCACACGTGGGGGGAGTCTTGTTGCTGCGCTCCTTTTCCTCTCCCTATTTTTATTCGCCGTCACTGACGAAGAGGAAGGGAAGAGAAGGAGAGGTACTTGCTTGAAAGTTGCCCCGAAAGCATTGGCTATGTTCAACTACCCCGTCTGCATTCCAGTCCCGGAATATCCGGCCAAGACTTCATTGATTTATGTGAAAGAAAAGTCTTGAGAATTGCGTTTTTGGGGTGGATTTTATTGACCTCTTTTGACTTGCGGGACCGTTTTTTGAACGTAATTCCCATTTTGAAGCTCTTCGGGTCTTAAGGTGACGATTCTTAAGGTAAAAAGAATCGTTTTCCTTTGGAACAGGAAACAAAGTATTTTACTTTGTGCGCATTTGTGTATGTCATAGAGTTTTAACATTTTATTTAATTTTTTTTCGGAGTATCCGCGCTGCTCTTGACGAGGACGCGTGCAGTCATCAGGGCAAGCACAGTTTAAAAACTCATTTTGAAAGAGTTGAACGGCATTTGTAACTGTACCCTCGAAAATTGTATCATGCGTCATTCCTCCTATAAATTGATGAGACTCGCGCCATGTAATTAAATTTCAAGTACGTTTTGAAGAACGTTCGATTTAATGATGCCGAAATCCCCCTTCGAACTTGAGAAGACGCGTAGTAGTAGTACTGTACGTCGATTTCTCCTTTACTGTTCGAAGCTTCATTTAAGCATTCGTGCTTCGAAAAAAGAAAGTGGAAGTTGTGTGCTGGGCGTAAATGTAAACATTCTCAAGAAAAAAAATCGTTACAAGGTCGTAATTGTCCTGAATTAAATGTGTTTCAACTATTCTGTACTGCAAATGGTTTCCTTTAGTTGGCATCACATTTTGAATTGCCGGATAAGACTTTTCTTTCTAACTTTGAGAGATGGAATATCGCATCTGCTTCTCCGTTACAATTCGGCGAACTACTCAACCATGAAATTTTCGTTAAAAAATATACAAAACGGAAGAACATTATTCAATCTAATTTTGTAGCGTTTCATGCTCTTCCATTTCCCTTGAGAAAGGTCATATGTCGCAGGCCAAATTTACTGCGGCGAGACTTCATGCACGCATTATATGGAAGCCTTGCGAATTACGAACTTCAGGGCGATGATTAAATCCTCACGTTATTCTAATCCGTTTGCCATCGTTTCGAACGGAGTGAAGTTGAAATGATTCATGCATTCCTAGAATCCTTCGATGGCTGCCAACCGTGCAGTCTTGCCAACGAGGATTAAAGGTTCTCTTTTTTTTTGCATTCCCTCTCGACGCCCCCATCCTCTTCCCACTCCTCGTTTGAGATAAAGCTAAAAGAAGCCATGCCAGGGAATAATGTTGCGAGGGCGATGATGGATTCATCTGCATGACTCGGGGTGAGGTGTAATTTTTCCTACGGAGGAAATGAGATGAATTTTATGTTCCCGTAAACTTGCTCGCGTCCTATACATTACCCGCCGTGACCGGCTGGAGGGAGGAGGAAAGCCAGGATTTTTTCTCTTCCTCTTCTCTCATCTGGCGGTGTAGGGGTTCAAACTCTAATCGAGACCAAAAATCCCATATTTTCGAGAGATACAATAAAATATTATTGCATCAAGGCGTTTGGGACCTTAACAAAATGTATTGTTATGAGCAAAAAAATCGTTAAAAGGAGACTAAAATACAGTAACATTGTGTGACTATTGGACAGGGACAAAAGAAAAAGAAGGAAATTCTTTTTAAGCAATAATTCGTTGGAATGAGATCCTAATGTGATTGCTCACAATTATCAATTGCTTTTATAACCGTTCTAACATCTACGTTTGGACTTCGTTGAAAAATATTTTCCGAGAATCCCGTGACAGCCCCTGACTTTTGTGAGAACTTCTCATTTTAATGCCCGAAGTTCCTTCGATTCTGTGATGTGAATTAATGTTTTAAAAAAGTATTGCTTGAATCGTAGGACAAATCATTGAGCATCGGTTAGGTTTGGGAGGCTTTGGCTCCAAGAGCTTTTTTTTTTCATCGGTTCAGGCGAAATCCATCCAGTCACCAAAGAAAAATGCTGTTCGAGTCTCAAAATGTGATGAAAATGTCTTGAAACTCCCTTACGACGCTTACTGCAGTTTGGATAATTGCGCAGTACTCGTCCGATTTGTCCAAATTCGTAAAAATAAAAATTCACGGCCCTAAACATGCCATCATAACTCATTGATTGCAGTATTTGTTCTTTTCTTTCGCAACGCTCGACCTTCTTTTCAACAATGGTTGGTTGAAGTTATACCCTCGGGGTTGTTCCCGTCTTCCTACACGCCCGAAAAGAAAAAAGACTTTTCGGAACCCGGCTCCGGGAATGCGGAGGACATAACCCTCGTTTCCGCGTCATTTGGTCTTACTTATATGCGTATGTAGCTAGCAATGCAATCGGGGTGAAGGAGGAGGGGTTGCTTTTCGTACTGGCAGTCATTTGTTCCTCGTCCATCGCTGCGGGTTTCCGGAAGCGACGGCGCCGTTTCCGTGCTAGCGGACGACTAATGGGTCGCTTGTATTGCGAGGAAAGAAAATACGGGCCAGCGTGCAGTTCTTTCTGCGGCCCTATACTCGTTTATCATGAGGTCACGGTTGTAGGGGACATTTGGGGGGGGGGGGATAATAAATGGAGATGGATATATCGAATAAGAAAACTATGTGAATCTGTATGAATAAAGCCAAGACAGAAAAAGAAAAGCTGAACTTTATCGGTTTTGACCATCCTCGGGGGATATAGAGGCGGCCATGCAAAATATCAAGACAAGGGAGTGGAGTGTTCAAGTTTGGAAATCGTTGTGGATTGTAAATTACGATAAAGTCTTGGTGGGATAATCCTTAGGTGTACTACAAGTAATTCTTCATGTAAAAAAAATATACATTTTTTCGTGAAGCTCTCGATACATTTACGTAAAAGAGTTCAACGAAAAACCACGGACTCGGAAAATTCTACGTGATCGAATGACCACGGGATTTTTCGAGCTTTCCCGAAAAAAAAAATATTTTTCGTTCGTGGAAATTGTTGTAGGCAAAATCATTGTAGAATGATTCGGATATTTCACTAAATAAACGCCAACTCGCCTTCAATAAATTTTTCTTTAACCACGTCATTTGGATTATTTTGCAGGACACGCTGCAGTATCGTCGGAAAATGCGGCAGTTGAAGGTCCGGATGCTGGACGGGGCCGTCAAGACGATCATGGTTGATGATTCTCAGCCCGTGGCTAACCTCATGGTTGTTATCTGCACTAAAATCCGTGAGTAACTAATTTATACTTTTTTCTTGAAAAAAAAAATAGGTACTGATTTCGGAACGTAAAAGAAAGATCTACGTCGCCATTTGTCAGAATGAAGAACTGCGGAAAAAAAGCTTTCGAAAAAAAAAATCTGTCATGAAGCGCACTTAATTTCTTCAGGCGCGCGGAATCCGAAATACTGTACTGTAATGTAGTTGCACACGATGATCGGGATTTAATTTTTGTTACAGAGATCACAAACTCTTTTTCAATTTAGAACTGCCTTCGAGGAATTTTCATTTTTGTCTGCTTGTAGATTGTTTTTGCCTCCTCTGAATCGTAATTAATTTTCTTTGCACGCGAGACAATTTTCTCCTTGCTTTCTCCGTTTCCCGAAAAGTCGTTTCTCATCAGTTTTTCTTTCGTGTTGCAGTAATAACAAACCACGACGAGTATTCACTGGTACGAGAAAAAGCCGAAGAGGAGAATGAGAGACCGTTGCCTTCCACAAACTTTGGGACGCTTACTCTTCGACGAAAGAAGGAAGGGGATCGGGAAATTGATCCGAAAATGGAACAGCTGAAGCGGAAGCTCAAGACGGAAGATGAAAGCAAGTCTTTCGAATTTGTTTTTCTCTTCTTTCCAAACAGAACCATTCGGTAGAAGTTATCGTCCAACAAAATCTGTTCTTACACTTTTTCTGGTCCGTTTTATTATACGTTTCATTCGTTTTAGTTCGTTCAACTCTGACGTAAATTCCGGTCCTGAAATGTTGAAAAGGTGTCGCCTGAATGACGAAACTGAAAAAAAATACTACTGCACTGCATTTGTCAAACTTGTATCTACATTCCTTTAGTAATTTTCGTTGTTGCGAATCCCGCTGGATTTCTGAGCTCCGAGTCAAAATCAGCAACCGATCTATTATTCTCTTCGTGTTTTCGAATTATTTCCCACGTGGATTTGAAACGAGATTACATAACTTTTCAATTGGATGAAACGTTTGAAAATGCGTACACTTGATGCACATTAACTCATCGAAGGCGAATGAATTAGTCGAGGACTTCTGTCCCAATAATGAAAAGAAACTGTCACTTTTTTTAATGGTGGACTGAGCAGATATTCTTACTGCTGCTTGAATGCAATCTGCGGATTTGAAAGAACGTATTTTTCACACTGATGGGCGAGAAAAATATGGAGGATTAATATTTCGGGTTTTTATTTTTGTGCTTAGCTGCCTGGGTTGATCACTCAAAGACGTTGAGGGAACAGGGTATTGACGAGAGCGAGACGTTGTTACTGCGTCGCAAATACTTCTTCTCTGACCGCAACATCGATTCCCATGACCCAGTTCAGTTGAACCTTTTGTACGTGCAATGCCGTGATGCCATAATTGACAGCACGCATCCGGTCACCGCCGAGAAGGCCTGTCAGTTTGCTGGGCTTCAATGCCACATTCAATTCGGTGATCACATTGAGCAGAAACATAAGCCGGGCTTTGCTGAGTACGAGAGAAAATTAATCGCGACTGATCGTAGGGTTCTGTGTTGATGATATATCTATACTTTTAGCGTGAAAGAATTCTTGCCGCAGTGCTACACCAAATTGAAGAGCATTGAAAAGCAGATATTTTCAGAGCATGCCAAGCATCGCGGCAAGACGGAAATAGACGCTAAAGTGGAGTACTGTAAACTGGCTCGTGAGCTGAAAACTTACGGCGTGTCCTTCTTCTTGGTCAAGGTAATTTGAATCCTTCAATTGTTTTAGTTCGACCATATAGAGTTGTAAACCTCGATCGCTGATTTTTTTCTTTTTTATGATGCAGGAGAAGCAGAAAGGGAAAAATAAACTCGTTCCACGTTTGCTGGGGGTCACGAAAGACTCGGTTTTACGATTGGATGAGAAGACCAAGGAAATATTGAAAACGTGGCCTTTGACCGCTGTGAAGCGTTGGGGTGCTAGTCCCAATACTTTTACGTTGGACTTCGGTGATTACTCCGACGGTTACTATTCGGTTCAGACTTCTGAAGGTGAACAAATCTCGCAACTGATTTCTGGATACATTGACATAATCATGAAAAAGGTTGGTGTTTTATTTTATTCTTGAGTTTTAGAAGCCTTTTGTAACTACTTTTGGATTTCGTAGAAAAAAGCGAAGGATCACTTCGGGATCGAAGGTGATGAAGGAAGTTCCATGGTGGAAGAGTGCGTTTCCCCTCTGAGAACTACATATGTGCAACATCAACGTCCGGAGGAGAGCACGAAAATTTCTACGGATTCCATTTCGAAGCCTGCTTTGCTGCGCGAAGCAAATGGTACGTATTTTCTCTATGTGCTTTGCAGTAATTTGAGACGGATTCTACGAAACTTTTGACATTTTGCAGGCGCCCAAACTTTCGGCCGAGGTCACATGGAGGGAGCTCAGTTTGGAATGACGCATGGAACGGCATCAGTTGGTCACTCAGCTCCCTTGGTACTTGACGCTCCTCTCCCAAGATTTTGTTCTCTTTCCGTTGCGCCGCTTTCTCCACGCGCGTTTAGGAATATTATTCAGTTATCTCGAGCTGATGTCAGCCGCAATTTTAGCATTCGATGTTCTTCCTACAATGGGACGACACCGAAGAAAAGTAATCTAAAGACCGCATCTGGAGTTCGGAAAATTAAAAAGAAACGAGTACAATTGAAGGAGTATCCGGACTCTTTGAACGGAGTCGATGTACAAATTTTTGAGCTAGACGAGGGCTGGTTGTTAGTGAAAAAACTAGGGCCAGTTTCAGATTATGAATTGCCGTTTGAAATAATCCAGCGGAAAAAGCGAAAGAGTTCTGAGCGTCCCTTGAAATTTTCATCAACAGACTTTGAAATATCGTCCGACAAACCGGAGTTTGCTCAGACAATCTTTCCCCATTTTGAAAGCGAAATACCACATATCCCGGAAAGAAAACTTTATGATCAAGGAAGATTTCCTGTTTTTGATCGAGTTCCCTGTATAGAACCAATACCGCGAGATTCTCATCATATTTTCGTGATCTGGCTGCGATTTTGTTCGGTGGTCGTTTTGATCTTATGCTTTCTGTGCAATTTGGCGGACACCCCCTATCAAATTTTTCATTACGAATACGGCGATGCAAATATTTTTGTAACTTAGACTTGGAGCAATCGACTGCACTATTGGGTCTACTATTTCATTAGTGGCATATGTTATTATTAGAATCACTTGCGTATTTGATAGTTATTTGAAGGCCATCGTAGTGCGTCCGTTCAAGGTGTAGAGGAAGATGAGTTACTCGAAAGTCTTGCAACTTCCCTAGCAATTATCGCTGTAGGCTCTTTGAAACCTCGTTTTGAAATGAAGAATTTTCGAAATTATTTTAAAAGAAGCGTTCATCCATTTAAGAGCAGATGAACAAAATATTACGGAAGAGATCAGCAGGAAGAGAATGGGAAGAAAATATTGTAGTAACATGCTTCCGTTCTTTATTTTTTATTATGAGCTTTCGAAATCGAAATGTTTTAATCGTAAGCTCTGCTTACAGGAAATCTTCCCAGTATGCAAAGCGACTTCATTTGTTTCTCCTTTTCTAGTAGGGAATAGCTTTTTTCTATTGAAATAAAATGAATTGTTAGATTTGTTACGACTGAGGACCCTGCCGCTTTTTGGGTGAATCGCAAGAGTTCTGAAGTTTTGAGTAATCCTCATACTAGCTAATATTATTCACCGTTTCCTCGAAAAACTTTGAGTTTCGAGGCGGGAACGCGATGTGGAGTCGAGCTTCAACAAATTACCTTCAGTGTTGAAAAGAAAATATTGCTTCCAAAAGTTTACCGACGAACAACGAGACCTGAATTTGAGTGATTTCGAAATGTGGCTTACAGAAAAAAAAATTGTATTTTGTCGGAGGGTTGGTTAGTAAAGGATGTCGGAGACCTGCTTGTCCTGACTCCTTTCTGACTGTTCGTAGTGCCTTTTTTTATCTTCAATTTCGACCGCTGCTTATGAATTCATTTTGCTCGCCGTTTGCTGAGTGTCACGTTTGTCATGTGTAACTCTGCGAGGAGGGGGATGTCCACCAAAATTCGCAACAAAGCATGAGAGACTATAACGATGATGTAGAGTCGTGGGTGTGTTGTTTGATGTGTCCTTGGTGTGCTTTGCTTCTAGTCTTCCACCAAGAGTCCTGAGGTTTCTTGTGCGGTCCCGACGCCACAAAGGGCTCTGATTTCAACGATCAACGCTGGTCAGGATGCCATCAAGGCTGCTGAAAGAGAACTGGATACTAAAGCCAAATTACCCGAGCTGGGAACCGATTCCGTGAGTATAAATTCGACACATCCGTAAAAAGAATTTTGAAAACCGAATTATTTCAATCTTCTTGAATTGCATTTAAAGCTCTATTAGTTATAAACTATTCAAAATCTTCCAATTGTTTCAATGCATTATTACGATAATGCTATTTTGTTCACTTCGTTTTTACCGTTTACTGTGTCATAATTTATATATTTTGTAAAAGCTGACTTTTGTACCGCATACGGTCACTTCGAACGATTATATAATAAGCATTTTCAGTTGTGATAATATTTCCTTTTGTGTTTGATTAAATTTAAGATCTAGAGCTGATCTTGGCTCTAATTCAGTTGGGAAAAATTAAGAAGGTATCCTTTTTAAACAATTTTCAAATCTCATCGTGAGACGTTCCCGATTTTTTTCAGGCATCGATGAAATGGCGTCAAGTTACTCTTGATACCAATAAGCAAAGCGTGACATCGCAGATTGCAGCGATGAACGCAGCCACAGCCCAAGTGGTAACCTTAACTGGATGTAAGAATGCAAAGAAAAAAAGAATATCTGTTAGTTCGGGGCATTGCCGTACATTAATTTCTTATGAATTTATTTTTTAGCGGATGACGTGGACCACAATGCAGTGGGTGCTGCGATCAGCACGATCACGTCAAATTTGCCGGAAATGACCCGCGGCGTTAAGATGATAGCTGCTTTGATGGATGATCAAGAAAAGGGTGAACACTTGTTCGACGCCACGCGAAAGCTGTGCGTAGCATTTTCGGATCTGCTTCGCGCAACGGAGCCTGAAAATCGTGAGGTGAGGAGTTCATTTGAATTTTCTCTTTTCTTTTCATCACGATTTTATTCAATATTTAAAAATCACCCTGACTGCATCTCTTGCTTGTATGCTTCTCTCCATGCTTACTTATCGTGTTGACACTGGATCACGCTTTCTTGGTGCGTATTTGTCTATTCAAATGCCTCGCGACGAAACTAGAAGCGAGAAAAACGAGTAAGATTCTCAGATCAGCCAAAACGGTGGTCGTACGCGATCGCTGTTGGTCGTGGGCTGGGGACTTTGTTGCACCCAAACGAGCCTCCGCACAAGGATTGGCCTCGAAAAGTAACTCATCTACCCGCTTCAATTTTTCTCTTGCTTTCCCGCTTTTTCCCTTATGACGCTTGCTGCGCACTCCGATAGGATGTGAAATCTCTACATTCACGTATTATTGGTCGAACTTACGTTCATACTTCTTTCATTCGTTCAGAAATTCGGAAAAAATTCCATGTGGAATGTATTTGAGAATATGTCACATCGCGGTTTCGTACCTGATGTTGTGATGGTTAATCAAGATTATCTGACGTGTTCAGTGTTGCAATCGACGTTACGCATGCTAAAAGGCTCTTTTTCTGTCTCTGCAGATCTTTCAGCTCTCCTTTGTTCTTATTCGACATGTAAAAATATTTTTCGCCACTTCATAATGTATTCTTTCTGAAACATCAGCTGGCATTTTCCTTGAAAAAAAATCTTAAAATTAAGCGGAGTATGCAATTCCTTCTCCCCACTTGTATTTTTACGAAAAATTTAGTTGTGGCTAGCAGGGTGAAATATAATAAATTCTAACGCAAGCTCAGTGTCTATCTAGAATGCATATATAGTGCGGAGTGCATATCAAGCTATCCCGGTTTATGTTCGTCTTGGTTACTTGTTGGCTTCTATGTGCTGATTAAACCAAGACCTGCGCTTGAGTAACAGCTTACATCCATTGCTCGTTTTCCACACAGCCGCGACAACATTTGCTGACTGCTGCCAGTCGAGTCGGAGAGGCGTCTCATCGTGTCCTGTCGACCATCGAGGAGGAAGATGCGGTTGACAAGGAGGTTGGTGGTTTTATGTTTATTTTTCTTTTGGGTGTAACTCATTAAAAAAATTTGCTTTCTGAAGGTGCAAGACATTCTCTTGGGTCTCGCCAAGGCTGTGGCGAACGCTACGGCTGCGCTGGTTCTCAAAGCGAAAAATGTCGCAGCTACATCCGGAGATGAAACGCAGAACAGGATCATTGCTGCTGCAACCCAGTGTGCATTGGCCACTTCCCAGCTTGTCGCCTGTGCCAAGGTTCGTTGACGTTCGTTTGCAGCGAATATTGCATTTCTTCCACCTTCAACGTGAAGTTATTTAAACTTCAACGCGCAAAATAGTTCGCACTGCATCTTGTTTAAACGTTTCAATGACAAAAAATGTCGCGAAGCCATGTCAGCCTGTTAGGTCACCGTGGGTTGATCGTCGTTCGAATTGCTTGTTTGAGTGAGTGATTCAGGCGACACCTTCCTGAAACTCCTCGAAGCAAGGTCGGGCGTCTAATGAAAAGAACCAAAAACCAGTTTTGTAAAAGAGGTTTTTATCTGAATTATTCTCGAATTTCGGGTAGACGTGTTTTTGGTCATCTCAGACTAATGATAGATGTAAAATAAGTTCAATGAAATTCGAATGATGAAAAATCCGTTTCAAAGTTAACTTTTTGGGATTCACAGGTTGTTGCGCCGACGCTAGAAAGTCCAGGATGTCAGGACCAGTTGATGGAAGCAGCCCGCGGAAGCGCAATTGCGGTGGAAGGTGTAGTTGAAACGTGTAGAGATGCCACGGCTGATGAAGCCCTACTGAATGACCTTGGAGGAGCTGCTACTCAAGTCACCCGAGCGCTGAACGACCTCCTCAATCACATCAAGTAATTATTCGTTCAGAAATTTAACTATTTTTTAGCGTGCGTACGTACTAGTCGCCGTTGAAAAGAGGATACGCATTTAAATGAAAGTCTCGAGTTTAAATTACCTTCATTAAAAAAAGGGAAAATACGCCTAATTTACTTCTCAAAATCCGACCAGTGTTCACCGCCAAAGCTTCGGACTAATTTCTAATTTCCGGAATAATTCAAATAAACAGACTTTTCCCGCTGCTGTGTAACATTTTATTTCGAAACTTTCTCTGGGATTCAAATTAATTTGTGCAGTTTTGAAGATGAAATCCTTAGTGTTCAGTCATTTTGCTCCACTGGTGACCCCCGATTCCGCGGTTGTCCATCGCAGAACTGGTTCAAGAGAACGTGTAAAGGAAACTGTTCAGGAGCATGCTGTGGACACTATTCTTCAAGTTTCTGATCGACTTATCGCTGCAACTGGAAATTCGGAAGAAATGGTGCAGCAAGCCCGCATCCTGGCGAAGGCCACTGCCAATCTCATTCAGGCCATCAAGGTCAGTTATTTTCCATGCAAATTTCTCTGCCAAAATTTGCGGATATCTTTCCATGGGTTTTGTTGCCTTAGTTTTTTTTTTACTTGATTGACAACATCATTCACTTTTTATGGTATACACATATTTCTGGAAATGATACGGTTGTGCGACGTTGTTGAGCGATCTAGCTTTCTTTTCGGAGCTTTGCTGTAAGCTCGCTCTGGTTGCTGCGCCGTTATTCGTTCGTGTTCTTCCTGGAAGTACCATTCGATAATTGTTCTTCATTTCCTGTCGCTTATTTTTCCAATTCCTTTTCTTTCGTTCGTTTGGCTTGTGTGTGAATTTGAGAAGAAGTAAGTCAGTGCTTGGATGAGTTACAGTATTTGTGACCTTGCCTCTGAAAAATCGCGGAGGAATTCTGTTTCTTTTTTTAAATACTACGCCTTTTTCAGGGAATTAATTTTTCATAATGGATATTCGAGTTTGATGTTGGAAATTTCAAATATTACGGGCAGCAAAGATGTTAAAAAAAAATTGTCAAGCGTTTCTCTCGTAAATTTTTGGGCCTTAAAAAAATGTTTCTGTTAATCCCGTCAGGTAACTCGGTAATTCTTGCATTATTAATTTCAGATATTTTTCTACGTGCAGTATAGAAATTCCTAAGATGGAAAGTATGAGGATCTCCCGTGTTTCATCGTTATAAATTATGTGTAACGTCCCTGAATACAATCTTTTCTGCGGAAAATTGAGAAAAAGGTTAGGGATTTGCGATTTCATTCATATAATTAGTTTATTTTTATTTTACTCTGCCTCAGGAATCCCGGGCAAAATATTCATATTATTTTAAGCATGGATTTACACTGAGAATGTGTCAAGTGTGCGTCGTGATTGATTTTGAGGTTGAGCCTCGTTTTTTGTTGAGTTACTTGGGTAGTTGCGACTGTTCAATTTCTTCGTTGTCTTTGAGCTTTGGTTGTTGAGTGTGTATGTTTTCTTCTGTTCGTGGCTGCGACCTTTCTCGGGGTGGGTGGGTAACGAAGGCGGCGTCGGACGATCTCGGGTCTTGTTCGTCCCAGACGTCGTTGGGCTACGAGTCGTTGCGGTCGTCGCCCGAAGGCGGCGAGCCGCGATTCTCCAGTTGGAGCCGTCAGCAGATCTACGGCCTGCTCTCTCTGCGGGAAATTTGGCAGGACCAAAAACTTCATCAGCGCGCCGATTCCTCCTCGCCGCGTTCCGACTACATCGAATATCCCTGGCTGCCTGTGGTAATTGTCCCGCCAAAAAAAAGAGAGGTCATGCAAAATGTGCCGTTGCTGGGAGGCGAGGGATTTGTTCTTGAGTGCTTCGCAATGGGTCTCGGGTTGTAAATATTTATGTCAGAGTAAATACCGCTTCGTATGTTAGAGAACAGCTTCCCTAAGTTTAGCGCTTCTTTAATAGCTATTAGTATTCAACTCAAACCCGTTACCGTAGAACTCAAGTTATCCGAACTAATTGGGACCAAGGGTAGTTCGAACATTCAAATTTCTGACTACAATTGGATTATTTGCTAAGCTGTACATTCGAACTGTGATTACCATTCATAATTGAAATTTGGGATTCGCAAAAGCATTGTAACTTCGCCGCACATGCGTTCTACTGCAGCGGAAGAACAGTATCAGTTTTGAAACCAGTGTGTTCACCAGTCAACAACAAAAAAGGAGCTGGAAACTCCGGCTTTATTAGAAGGGAAAACGGTTTGGATGATGATAAGTTTTATTGATTGTAGTCGGGATAATCGGAGTTCTACAGTAAGTGCGTACTTCACCGTGTTTCCCCGAAAATAATGCGTGGTCAATTATAGCACTCTATAAGGCAATAACCTAAAAATGAGCCGAGTGTCAAAAATAAGCCCTGATTCCTTCCCTTGAAACTTCTATTGGAAGAACTGTATCTTTCCTCCACTTAAAATAGATCAAAGTATATTTCCCATATCTATCTTCTTTCTTGAGTTATTTTGCAGAAGATGTGTGAAAAGCACTACCTCCTTAGCTAACGCCAGAGCGTCCAACACAAATTTCATGCTAGCAAGAATTCGTTCTTTTTATCTTGAATCAAAGCTTAAACTCGCGATGAGCCCTATATTGCTCACATTTAAAAATTGTCTTATTGACTTTATCTTCAGGGAAACACTCCAGCAAAAAGCTACGCATCATTCAACGCTAAAAATTAAAAAAAATATATATGTATATATTACGGTCGCGGAATGTTACGTGTTTCGATTCCCATGATAACAGAATCACAGTATGTGGGATAACTTTTTTTTTATCCTTTTCTTGACCGTCGTGGACCCCAAAAGTGGGACAAACGATGCCACAAAATATTCAAACGATCAAAATGAGTCATTTAAAAGAAGAGTTCATGCGACTTACGATGGAAGCCGGGTATGAGTAATTATAAATGTTTTTCCCACGAATTGCAAGTACAGTATTTGAATGGCTTTGTTGCTATCATTTGCACCGAATTTGTATGTATGTATGTATATGTATGTACACAGTCTTGATTTACCTCCCGAGTTGTGCAGTTCCCCGTGATTCGTCCTTATGTGTTCGTGTTTTGTGTTCGTTTATTTTATTCGTTTTCAGCACGGTGAACAGGAGCACGTACGAATTTCAGGCGCAGCTGCAGAATTGTTTCTCTCTTCTGCTCCTTTTTTCTTGGTATCTTTCGGTGCTCGGTTTCTGTGGACTGTCGAGTTGAGTTGGGGCGGTGCTGGTGTTGTAATTGTACTGTACTTGAAATTTTCTAGCGGACCGCAGTGTTTTGCTTACCGTCAAAGCCGGTGTTGTGGTGTAGGTATTTTCAAACTGTTCTTCCAGTAGCCGAAATCAGTTCACCGAGAAGTGGGCAGTTTTTTTAAACTTGTATTAACCGTATATTTTCGGCAAATTCAGGGAGAAGCAGAGCACCAGAAAGATTCCGATGTCCAGAAGCGGTTGTTGGCTGCTGCGAAAGTGTTGGCTGATGCCACTGCAAGGATGGTTGAAGCTGCGAAAGCATGTGCGTCATGTCCTGACGACGCTGCACAACAGCTTGCGCTCAAGGAAGCTGCGCAAAATTTGCGCTTTGCAACCCATGCTGCAGCCTCCACCGCGTTGCGGAAGAAGCTCATCAGGAGACTCGAGGTATTTCATTTTATTCATTCTGCAATATTTGATGAACATTCACCATTTATTCGTGTTCGTGTGTTCAAAAAAATCCCGGATTTGAGAAATGATCTATCCCACGACAGTTTCCATATTATCTATGCAGCAAAATAATATATTTTTGGTCTCGGCAGAGCTTTTATCGATACGTTAGCTGCTTCCTTAAAACAAAGTTATCTCTAATTAGTTTTATTTTTTGGTCCGCGGAGATTCACTGGAGAAAATCAAGCCAGTATTATTTTTTCGGCTTGTGAATAGAGTCAAATATAATTGAAGCTGCGTTTGGTTTGAAATGTTGAAGTGGTTGTTTTTTAGTATCGAAGATTCATGAGCATTGTAATGTGAGGTCATCGATGTTACAAAATCGAGCGTTGTCAAGATACGCTTGTTTTCAAAGGGCTTACGGGGAATGTTGTAAGTGTAGCATTTATAGATTTAAAAATTCAGTGCTTTTCAGCCTTCGTAATTCGTTTGATTAAAGAAAAAACGACTACGTGATAAGATAACCAAATTATTTGTTCTGGGGAAAGAGGATTACTATGTATTCCGCGGATATGTCGATCTTTCTCAAATTATTCATGCATCCGTCGGAACTAATCACCAGAGCGTTAATGTGATTCTAATTCTGATCTCAATTTTTTGCAGAATGCTTCGAAACACTCAGCTGCGGCTGCTACTCAGACTATCGCCGCCGCACAAGGAGCGGGACCGCATAACACGAACAGAGTCGCTCACGACGAGCTCATGCAGGTTCGCAAAATTTTTATTCTTTTTTTCGCTGAACTATTTTTTTTTCTCATTATTGAATGCTTCGCAATTTTATATGGTACATTTTTTCACATCAGGATTGTAGAGAAGCTGCAGACATGATCCCGAAACTCGTACAAGGGGTGAAAGAGTCTTTGGCAAATCCGGATAACCCTTCGGCGCAATTGAATTTGATCAACGTTGCCGAGAACTTCCTCCTGGTGATTATCCATTTTTTTCAACTCCTGATTTCTGAGGAAAAACTTCATGGTTCTTCTTCTCTGATAATTAGCCGGCTGACAAACTTGTTGCGTCGAGCAAATCGGCGCTGCCAACGGTGGTGGATCATGCCTCGCAAATGCAGCTTTCGAACAGCTCGAAGCAAATGGCATCTGCTGTTTCCGACCTTAGTTCTGCGGTTTCCAGAGCTCGAGAAGCGTGTCGCGCATTAGAGCTCGATGCTGCAATTGACATGATTCGTGGACTGGATAAAGAACTCGTGGAGTTCCAGAAGTCTGTAGAGGAAAATAATCTTCGACCACTACCTGGAGAAACGGTAATTAAATAACGAACAATTCTAGTGCTATTCATTGAATTTATTGTCAAGCGCTCCTGTTTTTATGTTCACCTTTTTTCCGCTTACAGCCTGAGTCAACCTCCCAACAACTAGACCAATCTTCAAAAGCTGTGGGTGCTGCAATGGCTCAGCTTCTTACTTCAGCATCGCAGGGCGATGAATATTATACCGGCATTGCAGCGAGAGAAACTGCAATATCTCTACGAGATTTGACGGACTCTGTTCGAGGCGTTGCTGCGACTTCTCATGAAAAACCTGTCAAACATAAGTAATTAAGCGTCATTGACTTCCGATTTTTCATTTTATACAAATAATTTTCTCTTCTTTTAGGGTTATCAGCGAAGCTCATGTGGTCATGACGCAGAGCATTGAGCTAATTGAAGAAGCGAAGTATGCGATCAAAAACCCCGGTGATCCAACAAACCATCAGAAGCTTTCCACGCATGCAAGAATGGTCTCAGGGGTGAGTTTTCATCAGTTTTATTTCGTGTGGCTTTTTTTTTTACTCCGTGACAAAAATAATAATGGTTTTGTTTTCTTAGTCTCTGAATCGGTGCTTCAATTGCTTGCCTGGACAAAAGGATGTCGACGAGGCAATTACTGAAATCGAGGATTCCGCGAAAATAGTCCAGTCAAGCAACGGATCTGCTCCCTCTGGAAAATCCTTCAGGTAAAAGCCACATGCGTATTCTGTTCAACTTCAGCCCGCTAGTAGGATTTACCAACGAAGTAATTTCAATGAATTTTCTCTGGTACATACTGTGTTTCCGCGAAACTGAGACTGGTTTTTTTTTTTTTTCGTTTGGGAAACATGTGTAGCCAGTGAATGTGAATATTCTTGTCTCAGATGGAGGAAAAGTGTATTTTCTAACCAAAATTGCATGTTATCAGTGCTGTTTATTTACTGTACTTCTTTTGCGCGGTCAAGCAGGGTCATATTCATGGTAGTGTCTAAACATAAAACTGTGATTGATTTTCTTATTTTGTCGGGAAGCACTGTGTAAGCATTAAAAGCATTGTCTTTCTCTTTGCAGTGAGCTGCAAACGGAATTGACGACAATGGCCGCATATCTAAACGACGCTTCGAGCGATGTTGTATCCACTGCGAAATATCCATCGCAACTGGCTCAGACTTCGAAGAAGTTCAGCGCTGCGCACAGTGACCTCTTGCAGGTTGGAATAGAAATGGTGTCGCAGAACCAGGATCCGGGGGTTCAGCCGCAGATGTCATCATCACTGCGAGCTGTGTCGAATATGTCATCTAAGCTGCTGCTTGCTGCCAAAGCTGTCGCCTCTGATCCTGATGCTCCAAACGCAAAGAATCAACTTGCTGCTGCTGCGAGGTAAGTGGTCGCATGAACAATTGAGCCATTTCTCGTCCATTTTTGTTTCCGCTGATGACATGGTTTTTTCTTGCAATTGAATGAAGTTGTGAATCATTTGTCTATTTCGCTAAGTCAGGATAATTGAATCATTTCTTTTATATTTTCGCAGAGCTGTTACTGAGTCCATCAACCAGTTGTTGGACGTTTTCACCAGTGCTGCTCCAGGGCAAAAGGAATGCGATTCCGCTATCCGAAATATTCAGTCTATGCAACATTGGCTGGATAACCCATCTGAACCCGTCAACAGCATGTCTTACTTCGAGGTTAGATTTTTCAAATTGTTACAGTAATTTTTACGGATAATTTTGCCTTGTATGAGACTGTCAATGGTATCTGCCTATCCAACTGAACTGTTCAGGAAAATATTCGCGTTCGTTTCTCATACGAAAAAATTCATAAAGCTTGGAGTTCGTCGGAAAATGTGGTAGTTAATTTCGGGTAGCTGAAAGTAATTATTGTGGGAAGTTATGCGATCTGCTTGTGGCTGAAAAGGATGTCGTTAATATTCCCGTCTTTTTCGCTTTGTAGTGTCTCGACTCCGTCATGGAGATGTCGCGCAGTCTTGGTGAGGGCATGACTGGTATTGCGAATCACGCCAAGCGTTGTGAATACGAAGACTTCTGCGCATCTGTGGGAAATATCAGCGACGCAATCTGTGGCTTGGTGGAGGGCGCTGCGCAAGCTGCTTACCTAGTTGGAGTCAGCGACGCGTCCGCCATTGCTGGCCGTCCCGGGCTCGTGGACCAGGCAGCTTTTGCTAACGCTGCCGCAAGCATCAAAGTTGCATGCGAAGAGCTCAAATGTCCGGCCAGTGACAAGTCTCAGGTACTGGTTTTATGCTTCGGAGAATAATGGAAGTACGAGATGGTACTTCGTAGTGGAAAATGTTCAAGCAGAGTTTCGAGTAAACTGATTTTAGTGCATTATTGCAGTTTCTCATGTTGCAACTACTACAGGAATGTCCTATATAAAAGCCTGAAAAAGTTGCTGATTTTTTAATTCTTAACCTGATCTCAATAATTGGATCAGTGATAAAAAAAAATTTCGAGCACAGTTTCGAGCAGTATTTCATAGTAAAACAAAAGGCTTTCATCTGCATCAAGCCAACGGGACTCGTTGAAGAGAAACTCAATACTAAAAATAACTCAATGATCCATGTTAAGTTTTTATCGTCAAAAATCACGAGCTTAAGGACTTTTGAAGAATCGTTTGTATTTTGAGAGAGGAGAAGGTTAAATGATTGGTTTCTTGTCAAGTTTTATTTTGTGTTGTTTCGCAATTTCCAGGTACTCCAGTCAGCCACAACCATCGCCAAGCATACTGGCACCCTCTGCAACGGTTGTCGCATCGCATCTCTCAAGACAAACAACTCTGCGACGAAACGGCAGTTCGTCCAGTCTGCAAAGGACGTCGCAAGTGCGACGTCTACGCTTGTGAAACGTATTAAAGAGCTGGACGACAATTTCTCCGATTCGGGCCGTCTGAGATGCGCAGAAGCAATCGAGCCTCTAGTCACGGCCGTGGATAGTCTAGTTACTTACGGCAGCTCGCCGGAATTCTACTCTGTCAAAGCGAAGATACCCGCGCAGGCCCGTGTTGCCCAGGAACCGATCACTACTGCGGGAAAAAATATTATTCGGGGTTCATGCTCAATGTTGGACTCCGCCAGATTGCTGGTGGTGAATCCGAAAGATCCTCCGACTTGGCAAAACCTGGCTGGTCATTCGAAGAGTGTTTCTGACGCCATTAAGAAGCTGGTTTCATCCATCAGGTTAGCGTGGCAATTCGTCTGCTATTTTGAAATTGGTCCTTCAAAAGATTATTTGCTAACAGTGCGTGCCGAGAACAGATGTAAAATGCTGTAAATAGCTTGTTAAAAATAATACTGTTCGCCAGTCTCAAAAGATGTTGCGGTTGTGTTTGATTACATAATTCACCTTGAATACCTTTTTTGAACGAGATGTTCTCTGGAATGAGAATACTCGTAATTGATACCTTTCTAAGTTTATGTGATTGCCCTGAATTCTTTTTTCTAATTTGTCCATGGTTTCGGAAATTCTCTCGTCTGAACGTGTCTTTTCGTAACGCAAGAAAATGTTCCTTCACCCTTTGTATTCGAAATTCGAATAAAAAAGTACGTTGATTACTGTTCATGAATATCTTATATTGAATTTAGGGATAAAGCTCCGGGACAAGCAGAATGCGACTCAGCAATCGAGGTCGTAAGCGCGTGTATTCGTGAACTCGACCAAGCTTCGTTAGCTGCCATCGGTCAGGCCTTGTCTCCTCGCAAGGACAACTCTCTCAAGGGATTCAATGAACAAATGGAGAACGCGACCCGGGAATTGCTTTCGAAGGTGGACCCGGTGCAAAAGGCTGCCAAGGACTGTGCAGAAAGCTTGGGTCATTCTGTCACGCAATTGTCGACTTACTTCTCTCCGCTCACGTCGGCAGCCGTTGGTGCTGCGTCCAACATGGTGAGCGTCAAGCAGCAGACTGCCATGCTGGACCAGGTCAAGTCCGTCGCTGAGTGCGCGCTGCAGTTATTGTACACCGCTAAAGAAGGTGCTGGTAATCCGAAAGCCACTCATGTTCACTCTGAGATCAATGAATGCGCTGACTCGTTGCGGGACGCCTTGCAGGTGAGTCATGCTCGGAAAATGCTTCTCGTCGAATTTTTGGCTGAGGCCTTTTGATGAAATGGTCCAGGAGCCTGTTTTAGTTCACGAAAAGTTAATGTCTAAGATACTTCAAAATTGCATGCGCAGGGGAATCAAGCTTGGGAGGAATTGTGAAATTCGGCTGAATTATAGAAAAAATTAGAAATGATGAAATACTTTTAATACGCATACTAAATATCTGCAAGAGCTGATCATGATTTGTTTCGTTCAATGGGTTTCTTACAGGGGTCTGTTCTATTTATTTTTTCTGCTGAACAGAGAAATTTATCAAAACAGGTACTTCAAGACGCGCTAAATCTATCAAAACATACATAAGTATACTGTACAGTCCTGAGCATTATTTTTTAACATTTGAAACCTGCGGTCTGCGCCTATTGAAAACTGTGCGATACTGATAACGTTGTTCAGCACAATTTATGAGAAATTTAAAATATTTCTATGGTCTGAATCCGCTTTCGAAATTTCTACTACGCTCGCCGCAGCAGGTTTTGATCTCAGATTTTTCTTCATCTAGGACCTCACTCTGAACATCGAACAAATCGCCGCCGAAGCTGGAGTTGTCACGAGTCTGCTGGAACAATTGGCCAAAGCCATGGGCAAGATAGACGACAAGTACATCGCCTCTCCCAACGACAGCTTTGTTGATTTTCAAACACGCATGGTCAACTCTGCGAAGGAGATTGCCAAGACATCGCAGGACATGGCAGCCAAGTCCACTTCAAACGTACAGGATCTGGGCACCCTGGCGGCCAAGCTGACTAGCTATTACTCTGAATTGGCTCAGGATTCGCGCGGGGCAGTAATGTGTACTTCGAGCACGGAAGTGGCTGGCAGAATTCGCGTTTCCGTGTTGCACTTGGGCACGGCTGCCAGCATGCTTGTGCGGTGCGCTGGGGCTGTTCAAGGATCGCCACATGATCCTTTTTGTCAGAGGGATTTGACTGATGCTGCTCGAGTCGTTTCCGAAAAGGTTTGTTCGCTTGAAGTGTTAGTGTAGCCACGTAGTTTAACAAGCGCATGCAAACGAAGCCCCGAAGTTGATGAAATCGAAATGAATCGGTTTTTATGTAAGAGCTATAAAAATCGACTGAAAAGACATCTATTCTCAATTTACAAAAATTACCTGTATAAGAATACTCTATGAATGTCGGTCTATCTGCAAAGTGAATATTTCGATACCCTCTGATATGCCTCATTTCGAGATTGTGATCTTGATTTCGATATTTTGCGTTTTTTCAAGGTGTCCGAGGTGCTTTCAGCTCTCCAGGCAGGTTCCCGTGGAACACAAGCCTGCATAAATGCCGCGTCAACGGTAAATGGAATAATTGGCGAGCTGAATACAACAATCATGTTCGCGTCCGCCGGAACGCTGAATCCTGAGAATGACGAGGTGTTCGATAATCATCGAGACGATATTTTGAAGACAGCGAAGGCCCTAGTTGAGGATACGAAGACTTTGGTCGCTGGAGCAGCGTCTTCCCAAGAACAGCTCGCTGTTGCAGCTCAAAACGCCGTCGCGACGATTGTTCAGTTGTCAGATGTGGTGAAACTTGGCGCTGCTTCTTTGGGATCTAATAACCAAGAGGCTCAGGTAATGTTGATTTATTCCGAAAAAAAATTTTTTTTATGAGTCTTACAAGGCTATTATGATTAAACTGTCAGGTCAATTGAAAATTATTAATACCGTATGCATTCAATGTTAAGCTAAGTTCTTCTGAATTCTTATATAATTCGCTCGATCAGTGAATTTTAAGATTTTTGTATTCAGCAGCGCTTGAATCTTGTGCTCCTTTTTTCAGGTAATGCTCATCAATGCCGTCAAAGATGTGGCTTCTGCGCTCGGAGATTTGATTCAGTCGACGAAATTCGCTGCAGGAAAGAATGCGAAGGATCCAGCCATGGAAGCTCTGAAGGAATCTGCAAAGGTGAATTCATTTTATTCTTCGATCATTTTGTTTCCTGCTTTTATGCCCAAAGTGGGTGTGATCGTTGCCGTTGGGTGTTGTGGTAATAACTGAGAACTTGGGGTCGAATCTTGGCTCTCAGATTGCATCCAGTTCACTGTTCTTTTCGTAACTCTGGTATTCAATAATTTAGTTTGAATTGTTATACTCTTGGACGTAGCTTCAAGCATCTGAACTATTGGAAAGCTCTTCTGAGCCAAAATTTTTCCCATTTTACTGATTCTTCTGAACACACAAGTTTCTTTTTTGCTGATGTGCTTGCGGTTTTTTTTTTCCTGTGTTTTGTTTGTCCCTCATTTTTCTATTCCTCTGCATCCTGGCCCACTTCGACAATTTTTCATCACATGCAGAGACCTCGACTAGAGCTACCCGACGTTCAGATCGTTACAGCTTCTGCAGACCCAGAGGATAGCGAAGAGAACCGTCTAATTAAGCTACTTGCACTTGAAGCTTGTGTTGAGAAGCTTGAGGAAGTTACTACAATCCCGCCTTGCGCTGAATAATAGCTGTCGTGGAACTCTTCGATGCAATTCCGATTAGTGTCCCTTTGAATTAACATTGTTCGTTTCCATAAATCTTCTTCGACGCTATGGGACGCATTCTATTTTTCTTCTTGGCCATCAACTGCAATTCCCCTTGAATATTCTATCGAGCAAGCAGTTGCACAGATTGGAGCAGAATTTCCGTTGAAAAACACCGGATGATTTTGAAGATTCAGTAGTGGTGCCTCGGTTAATTGACTGGCTTTGTTCCATAGGAATGTCTATTCACCGAATGATTTCCAGATCCTCACAAAGGCCCTCCTTTGTGTAAAGTAAAGGAAAATATTTTGGAATATCCATTCCGTAATTCCGTTCGAGGCGGTTTCCCTTTTAGATTTCCCCTCATGCATTTATGTATACATACCGAGGGATTTGGGATTTAACATGGAATATCTTTAAAACTTAACAGAAACACCCGGAAACGAAGGAAGTAAAAGACGCATTCAAGAAGGTTCCCTCCGCTTGAAAAAATGTGCCGATTGCAGAATTTCCGCGCGGCAACTTCGATCTTTTTTCGAGAACCACTTTGTGTGCAAAATTTTATCCAAAGCGGAATATGATGGCAGCCCGAGTCTATTTTGTGTGAGGCGTCCGTTACCCAGGGCACCACTTTAATTTATTCATGTTCTTTCAAATATTTTCTAGTTCAAAGGTAAATGATTCTGTTTAATTTTCCCGTACGCAATGTAAACTCTCTCCCCGGAGTTCTTTTTTTCTTGTCCCGCTGTTCGTCCTTTCGTTTGGTTGTGAAGGAAGATGCTGGGGTTGTGTGAGAGGCTTTTGGTTGCGCTTGGGCTTGACGGTGGCGACGGCTGCGGCGGTGTCAGAGGTAAGCTCCCGTCTGTGACGTAGACGTGGACTCGTGCCGATGGCTATCGTCCGCCTGCAACCATATCCCCGCCGTGTTCTCCCTGCTATTGTTTCCCTCGAGACAAGCAAACCTGCCGTCAGCATGCCTCCAGTTTTATGAAATTCATTTAGTTTTTTATTTCGTTTATCGTCGCATTTTCGATGCCCTTATAGTGCGATTACTCGGGGATGCTCAAGGTTTTTTTTTTCTCTTCATGTTGCGGAACTAAACCGAATCACGTCATAAATTCGAGTAATTTTATAGCCCCTTTTTCACCATTCTCTTGAAAATATTCTTAGAACTTGCAGAATACCATGCTTGAATTTAGAGTCACTTATTGAAATTGAAAACTCACGAAAGATGACTCCAAAATATTAATTAATTCTGGGTACAATTTTAGGGAAGGTTACTTTTCTCATTTTAATGCGTTCATCATTCAAAAAGTAATCAAAAAGTAAGATTTCACATCCCGAAGAGAGGACGTTTTTTCTTGAAGACCGGTTCTTGAAAGATTCAATTCAGTCGTGCTTCTTAGCTAACGATTTTCCTGCACTATCTACCCACCATTTTCCAATCAAGCTAGCTTTTGTATTGAAGTTTTTCAAAAGAGATTTCGACGCTTGAAGTTGATATCGAAGTTTTGAAATCTTACCAAAATTAGGGACAGTGTAATTTTTCGAATTTTTTTGAACTTTTTACCATAGATTCCGCTTAGCTACGCGTTCAGGTTTACGATACGCATCCAGTATTGAGAATTGGATCTACTGCTCGGTTTGAGGATGTTAATTTTTAAAACAAAACTTGTTGCATCGCATTTTGACTTGCCCGAAGTCCTCAGCACCGTTTTCCACCCTGCACTCTTCCGCTAAGCTTTTCTGCTGCTTCAGTGAAATCGTGATGAAAAACAGTGCGTATCTTTAGTTCTCGCGGGAGCTATGCAACGTGTATAGTTTCATGTTACTCATACATTCCAACTGACCATCACGTTTTCTCGTAGGTGATGGTGACGAATGTGACGTCACTGCTGAAGACGGTGCGAGCTGTCCAGGACGAGCACACTCGTGGCACCCGCGCTCTGGAGTCTACGATCGAGGCGATTGCGCAAGAAATACGGGTGTGTATTTCTTCTGGTTCTCTTATTGCCAGATAACTTTGGGGAATGTGGGATTTTGCCTTTCATTTGATAATGATCTCATCCCAAAATTCTCTGCAAAACAGAAGTTTCATTTTATTTTATTCAAATTAAGATTTTTTTAGTTTTCATCGCTTCATTAATCGATGCTTGCTAAATAATATATCATACTGTAAATAAATCACGGCTTTAGTATTTTCAAAAATATTCAACTTGGATTTTGTTTACCTTGATGCCGAGCGCCGGTGACCTCATTATTTTCTCAGCCTTCACGTCGGTATTGCGTAAATTTTGTCGGGGCCTAATTTTTATTTGGCTGAGTAAGGTTCAGTCAGGTTGATGGTTCAGACCAAGTTGAACCAGGATAGTCCATTTTTGGTGGGCCGTTTTCTGGTGATGTTAATGATTCACATTATACGCATCCCGGAAAGTGAGGATAGATGACGACACGAGATGAATTGAATTTTCGTGCGATCTTTAATTTATGTTACGATTTGTTCCCCAGGCGTTTGATTTGCCTGAACCTCCGGCAAAGACAGCGACTCCGGAGGAACTGATGAGAGCAACAAAACCAGTGACTTTGGCCACTGCGAAGGCTGTGGCCGCTGGTAATTCATTGAAGCAAGAGGACATCATCGTGGCTGCGAATATGGGTCGCAAAGCCATTTCCGATCTTTTGACGATATGCAAGGTACGTGTCTCACGTTATTATCAAGTTGACAATATAGTTTGAAGGGCTTCTTTTTGCGTCTGTACTACATTGTGTGTCAGATGAATTACGACCAGCGTATTTAACTTGTACATTATGATGCTGTTCATTGTCTCTATTTTTGAAGTGAATACAAATTTGATACACTTTCTGTTTATTTTTATAGGGTGCGGCTTACGACGCAGATTCAGGAGAATTGAAAAGGAAGTCGCTGGAAGCCGGGCATAATTGTGCGGAAACGTATCGGGAATTGTTGACGAGGTTGATGCAAATTGTAATGAAGCCAAGCCCTGAAGGCAGGCATCAGTTGACCGAATTTTCCCGCAATATGGCAGCATGCGTCCAAGATATTGTAACCGCCTCCGAACAACTCAAAGGTAGAATCATTTGCTCTTCGCATCTCTGCTTTGAGAGATTCTGTTTCAATCAAGTGCCCGTGAATGGGTTAATTGAAAATGAAATCTCACAGCTGCAATTGTGATTTTGATATTTTTTGAAGGCTCTGATTGGGTTGATCCGGATGATCCCAATGTGATTGCCGAGAACGAATTGCTAGGTGCTGCGCTGTCTATTGAAAAAGCCGCGAAGAAATTGGCTGCGCTACGCCCGAGACGAGGTCCAAAGGTGAGCACCTTGTTTATTCTGCTTTTGAGGCGTATTTATTGGAACGTAGTTGAAAATGTTTTCATGTTGAAAGGAAGGAAATCAAGTGTGAAACCTTGTATTAGCACGGTTGTTTGCGTGTGCTGTGTTCCTTTTCGATTTGACGTTCCCGTCTTTTTCGATTGAATCGCATGGTTTTATATTATATTTTATGAAGAAAGATCGTTGATATTTCTGTTTGATGATGAAAAAGTTCATGTTCGAGGACTAGATTCGAAAGCAAATCAAATTCCCTGTGTGTCTTCCCGTTGGTGATTGGTTTCTGCTGAATCGTTTGATTCGGTCGTGGCTTTTTTCTGAAAATTTTTGCGTCAAGTCAGAAATGGATTTTCTATTGCTCGAAATTAGAAATCAGTTTTAAATGGCTGCGTAAATATTGCCGAAAGGTTTTGCGTGTCGTGAAAGAAAGGGCTTTTTTTGCTCGAGTTATTTGGCTAGCTGCGAAAGCGAAACGTTAGCCCGAGGGTTATGGAAGCTTGCGTGCCCGCGGCGGTGAGATATGTTTGATATTCTTGGTTGTGGATTTGCTTCGAGCTCAACCAGATGTCAAACATACCGTCATCGCTGTGCTGGCCGATACGGTCGTGTGCCATCTGTACTTCTTCCTTCCTCCTCCTTCGCCGTGGAAACCCCTGGTCCACGTACCCTGGTCTTGCTCCTGGCTCATGGGATCTCTGCCACGTCGGTTTGAGAGAAACAAGTCTAATTTCTATCCTTTGAGTGTGTTTTTTGCCTTCTTGCTGCTGGGTTGTTGTGCGTTTTGCCTGGGATTGATTTTTTTCCCTCCACTCCTCCTCCCTGGAATCTCGGTCCGCAATGGTATTGTTTTTTATCTACTGTGCTTTCGAGCATTACGGTGATTTGGAGCTGTTCCTTTGCATCGTTTTCTGTGTTATAAGTCTACAATTTTTAATGGAATTGCCCAAAAAAAAAAAGAACTGTTCAAGTGCTATATTATTTTTCCCATTTGCACCATTCTTTGAAGTAATGGATTGCAAATTCGTACCGTTTTAGTCGATGGATTCACGGTGATCCAATTGTTCAAAATTTATTTTGAAGTGCGCGATGCTTCTTTGGTTTATCGCTGTTTTCTTTGATTTCTCTCAAAATTCTGTAAGAATGCCATATTATGAATCCCCTAAAAGATGCAGAAGAATCAAAATCGATTTTCCTAAGAATAGTCTTCAAGCGTTTACAAGATCAATTTTCTTGCTCGCGTTTCTTTTTTTTTCGAGGGTTTTCTTTGTGTCCAAATTTTTGAGAAATAATTAATTGAATATTCAATTTGATGGGTCCATGATTTCATGCGACGGCGCCGACAAAACTGCAAGACAGTTTTTGAGGAGCATTTTTTGTTGATCTGTCCGCCGTCTGACCTTTCATCGGTCCTGAACTTTATTTTTTGCAAGTGGTGAATTTTTTGTTTGGTTGGGATCGTTCGCGTTGTTTCATCGTGAATTTGTGATATGCTGTGATGGTTTTTTTTTTCTTTGTCTGATGCTTTGCCGCGTCATGTTGAATTGCGTTTCCTGTTCACGAGTCCGAGATGTGACGGATCAAAGATTTTGCTTGTAATTAATCCACAGGAGGCGGATGACTCTCTCAACTTCGATGAAATGATTCTTGAAGCTGCGAAATCCATTGCAGCTGCAACTTCTGCTCTAGTCAAAGCCGCAAATTCTGCACAGCGAGAGCTTATCGAGCAGGGCAAAGTAAGTATAATATTTTCTGTACTTTTCATGTCATTCGGTATCACGGAAAATGCCCTTCGCTGATGTCAATGCACGGTAAATTTCATTTATTTTTTCGTCGTTTAGGCATCATTCTTAGCTGTTTTTATGCTTCTTTCATTTCCTTGCGGATTTTCTGTTTTATGATTCGAATTGTTCTGGAAATAAAGACTCTTGAATTAGAAGAGTTCTCCCTTAATTCTACATGTGTTGAATTTCGTTCATGAAAAATTCGTTGTGCATTTTAATGTAAATCGGGCCTAATGGATTTAACGGGACCGGTAGCAGTTGGAGAGGCACTGCGACATTCCTGGATGTTGTTGCATCAATTACCTCTTCCTATAATTCTTGCTTATTATTTTATTCATTATCTTCATTGCAAACTGAAGACTTAATTGAAGACCTAAAGTGCTTCAAAATTATGTTGGAACGCCAGTAAGAAAGTGATCAACAGTTTTCTAAGAATTCATCATCTTCAGAATCTTGTGTAGCATATTCCTCCCTCTTTCTCTTCTTAATTGCATCCTGATTAATTTGTATTGTGCACGGGCAGTTAGGCTTATTATTTTGTTCAAAACGATACCTTGTGTAAAATATGTTGCGTAATTTAGCATATTTACTTGGCCATCTTCATGGTATACTTCGAGATTTCTTTTTTGTGTGTTGCGGTAGTGATTAGTTTTGATCATTGATATTTGTTTTCATTGCAGATGAGTCGTCGACCTAGGTTTACGTCAGATGACGGTCAGTGGTCCGAAGGCTTGATTTCTGCGGCGCGTTTTGTCGCCGGAGCAACACACAGCTTGTGTGAGGCGGCCAATGCGCTTGTGCAAGGCCACGCGACGGAGGACAAACTGATCGCTGCCGCGAAACAAGTCGCGTCAACGACCGCCCAACTCCTCGTGGCTTGTCGGGTCAAAGCCGACTCTGACTCAGCTGCCATGCGCAGGCTGCAGGTCTGAATTTTTAATTTCTAGATTACTGTATAATGTCCACTGTATAAAAGGCGTATTGATTTTTCTTTCTGCCGAGGTGTCTTTTTTTACCAATTGAGAAAATTTGAAGATCCCGGGAATAAAAATGTAGTTTACCATAAATTTATTTTTGGATCCTTCCTTCCGCACTCGATTATGATCGCTGGATTAAGATCTTTTATATCTGAAGTGCTCTTGAGTGGAAGGCGTTCCATTAAGTAAGTCGTGTGTTGAAGTATTTTATGAGTATATTTTGGTCCATCAGAAGACGAAAGATTTGTTGATGAAAATCCGAATTCTCATGCAATTATTATGTACTGTACTTAATTTGGCATATTGAAATGAAATTCGTTAGTCGGATCAGCTCATAGTTATACAGTACTGTATTACATATTCTTATTGAAATACCAAATGGGAGTCGGCGGAACGATTCACGGCTTTGATGGTCCTTTTTTTCGATTGGGTTTTGGCCTGGCTCGAGTATATTTTCATTTTCACATGTTCGAATAACTTTTATTTGACAGGCTGCCGGAAATGAAGTGAAGCGAGCGACAGACAATTTGGTCCGAGCCGCCCAGCAGGCCATCGACCAGGAGGAAGAGCGGAACCTGATGATTAATACGCGAATGGTTGGAGGCATCGCTCAGGAGATTGATGCCCGATCTGAGGTACATCATTAGAAGTCTTTTTTTTTTATGATAGTTCATTTTTAGCTCGTAACTTCTTTTTCTTAATGTGACTTCTTAAAACGTATTCTTGAAGCATCCTGTGAATAATTTAGGATTCAAAGAAGACCCAATGCTGAATGTTTTGTTTTTGCTTCGTACAGGTGTTCCGACTTGAGAAAGAGCTTGAAGAGGCTAGGAACAAATTTGCGTTGGTGAAGAAGGCCAAATATCGCGGTGGACAAAGCGATGGCGAGGGCGACTACTCTGGTTACGAGTCCTCTTTCGCATCCTTCAATGTTACCCCGCAAAAGATTGTGGGCCTTTCTGCCAACAGCAACATGGCGCATCTGCACTCGACTCCTGTTCCTTTGGAAAGCCCCCAACAGGTACTCATCTCACCTGAAATTATTCTAACTTAGTTCTGCTCTGTGATGTAAACTGTGAGGAATTATTGCTTTTCTTTTACCATTTCGGTTTTTCCCACGATTACAAATGAAACTTTTAATGTGGCTCTTATTTTGTCCACGATTTTCTAGAAATATTTTAGCTTTTTTCGTCATATTTTCGTCATCAGTTTTGATGTGATTCTTGTGTCAATGCATCTAGCACCAACAATTCTGACAATTTTGTTCATTCTTCAATTTCTGGAGCTGATCATTTACAGCTGAAATAATCTGCAGAAATCTCGAGAGATTTCCCCACTGACACATCTTAAGCTTTAGATACTTTATTCTCAAAAACACTGGTGTTCAAGTTGCGATAATAAAGAAAAGGAGTCGAAATATCCATGCCTGAATGATGAACTTGACCTTTTGGCATTTTGTTCTCTAGGTTCGTGATACGCAACAAATTATGTATATAAAAATGAATAATGCCAGGAAATGTTTTGCTGTAAAATTTGAAAACCATGGGTTATTTATATTGAGCCTGATGTACAAGACATGTGCTATTACGGCCGCAAAACAATTTACAGTACAGTATTTTGTGTTGATCCATTGTGGGTTCCAATTAACCGAAAGCACTGTTTCCTCATTCCTCTTGCATACAAAAGGGAATTTGTATTCGGTATTCACTTATTTTTCACGCAAATCGTTTCTGAGATGTGGCTACGAAAAAATTCAAATTATCCGTAGAATCGGAGAAAAGTACAGTATTTCTATAATCTGTTTTGGATAACAAAGTCCGAGTCAATTGAGAAGCATTTATAAATATCCAGTTAGTCCGAATCTAATCCGTGATATTCTGTTTAGGTGACCCAAGCTCATTCATCCTCCATGTCTTCGTTCTCGTCTTCGTCGTACCGCGTGATGCGCAACGGCGAAGAAGTGGCGGACTCTTCCTCCGTGGCGTTCACGCAGTTGATGTCTCCCTCAAGCGCCCATTCAGTAAGCGTTGGTCCGCCGCCACCAGCTCCGCCACCGCCGCGCTCTCCTCGCCTCGACTCCTTCAACCGCCCCAACTTCAACAAGGCGCCGAAGCCCTTCGAGCCTTACAATCCGATTGGCTTGGAGCGCCAGGACAGCTACCGGCGCGAACCGGACTCACCGTCCGGAATCGTAGAGCAGCCTCTGCTCAACGTCATGAAGGGCAAGTCAATCTTCGAGACGTCGAAGTCGTCGTCCACGGCTTCTTCCTCCTTCCTGGATAAGTCCACCGAGGAGCGCGTGTTCGCCCGTACGCAGTGATATAACCTTTCCTCCTTAGCTAAAAAGAAAGACTTTCAATTTTTGTTATGATGCATTTGTAATGGACGAAGGGCGTTCAGCAAGTGTCAGGAACGACTCTTACGCTTGAGTCTTTCTCAAGACTCATCGTCTGCAGAGCTTAACGTTATTTATCAATGTTTAGAAAGAATGGTCTGAACCGAGTCGACATTTTCTCTGTATTCTGTGGTTCAATTTGTTCTTGAAAGTTCCTCATGGAAATTGCCTTGCTGCTTCTCTCAAATTCGGGAAAGAGTTCGATTTTTCTCGAGAATCAATCTTTTCGATGGTACTTTTTAAAAATAGATTGTTTGGTTGGAACGCGGATAATTATGAAGTCGCAACCCCTTATTTATTGCGCCCATGTGCAAAGACGCATTCGGAAAGACTTATTTTAAGCCTTCAACTCGTGCCATTTGTCGTGAAAATGAAAAAAGAAGAGAATGAATTTCGTCGTGACTTGTGAGGTTGAAACGGAAAAGACGGTATTTGAAATTCTAAGACTTGCGGAACAATCACGGGGAACTGTGGCCTCAAGTATTTTCAAAACAAAATTTTTGTTTTCTGTAAAAAAAAAATAGAATGTTCGCTTTTTGAGCTGTAACAAGCGTGTACATTTTCGGCCTCACGGAAAATATTGTCCGGAGGCTCGAACTTTTTTTGTTAATCAGCAAACCGTCTAATCAGGCCTTGAGGGATCCTGGTATGGTGTGGGAGGAGCAGAAATTGCGAAACGAGAGAAGTGGAAAGGACTGAACTTGTGCTGTGGTTTAATTTTTTGTGTCTGCGTCAGTGGCCTTTATTTTGCGAGCAAATGCCTGTTTGTTTGTTTTTTTGTCCGGAAGAAGAGCTTAGGAGAAAAAGCGTGGTGAGAGAAGAGTGAGGTTTAAAGGAAAAAAGAAAAGCGTCGCACGAAGACGGATTTTCAGCCCCGAGGTTCTTTCAGCAATCTTTCGCCGCGGTGGCATGTGCCCATTCGCCGCCTGTGTTTCCTACAAACGTGTCCGAATTTAATGACCTATTGTCAGTATTGCGGACACTTCTTCAAGCAAAAAAGACAAGAAATTATGCGGTGCCTTGTTTTTCTCCTTCTCAGCTTTTTTTTTTTTTTTTGTCTCGTCCTACTGTAATTACGGCTTCTTCGCCAGTTGTTGAGCGTTGTAGTGTGTGGGTGTGTGCTTGGTCCATTTTGATAACTTGATCGTGGAGGTAACCTTTGAGTGACAACTCTGCGCGGATAAATAATTCTGGCTCAGTAAAAGTATTTCTAAACGAAGATGAGGGTAATGCAAACCTGTACCCAATACAGTATTGTTCAGAGAAATTTAGGTCAACAAAACTGTATCTTCTCAAACTTATTAATTACAGGTGTCTTGTAAAATTATTTAGTTGCGGCGAGCTGGTAATATTTCCAATACGTCTTTCTGTATTAAAACATTATTTTAAACCGTTAATTTTTCTTAAATTATTACCGTTCTTATTGAATTTTAAATAATAGACCTCAGAGGCTGCTAATATGGTGGATTCACTAGCGTTTTCATTGCACAAAAGATAGGTGTAAGTAAGTGTTCTCATATTTTAACTTATCAAATTTTCAACGAAATTGAAATCATACAAGCTATTCAAGTCTTTAACCCTGTTCTGGACTGAACGCTGATTTAAAATTCCAACCATGACTCAGTATTCCAACTACGTGTTTCTTTCATTGACAGAACTTTGAACAATATTTTCTCATAACTATTAACAAGGATTCCCAAAGTCAGTGAACGCACATTGTCGTATCATTGAAGCTAGAAGTGAAGAAGTCTAATAATTTAACTGGTACGCGGAATGTCACTGGAAGGTTTCACCATCGTCTTGTGAAGAACAATTTTAGAGATGGTCTGTGCGCGACCAGACAAAGCCCTTGATCCGAGGTTCTGTCCATGAGAAGGGAAAAGATGCCGTCGCAAAAAAATTCACGTCCGTCGTTGTGAATGTTCTCCCAGTCCAAGCTTGTTTGCTTTCTTCTCCATGGGCGAAATTCTGTCTTCTTTATTTCTTTCTTTAACGAGTGGGCATATATTCAATTCCGTACGGAATTTGCTTGAAGAAGGTTGAAAGATGTTTTTTGGAGAAAATGTTTTCATCTCTGGCGAACGGTTTCCTGGTAGGAGTTACCGTTGAAGAATTGTATTAATAGCTTTTGAAATCTTGAAAGAAAAGGTTTTTATAGAGTTGGATTTGAGCATACAGTACTTTAATTCCAGCGTCGCGTTTATTTTGGCTGAGCTGATTTCTTCGAGTTTACGAGTTATATAACAGTGTTAAAATTGCAGAAGAAAATGAAAGCAAAACTTAGGTGCTTGTTCTTCCGTTGGCAATTCTAAAATGTGTAATTTTTCCTTTCTCTTTGCGTGTTCTGGAATAAGTCACATTTTTGTGAGCTTCCGATCGTCTTCCTTAACCTCGATTCCACTTCGTTTTGCAAACCGAATCTTGTTGCTGACGTCAACGTGATGATGACGTCACTTGTGTTTCCTTTTTTTCTGAAACATTTCTGAAGACTCGGTGACTTCTCTCTATGCTGATGGGTATGGCATTTTGTTTTGCATTTCGAATCGCAAAGAGGCGAGAGGGATTTTGAGTAAAGGAACCAGTCATGGCACAGCATATCGCTCATATTTTGTTTGTGTGGTCGGAAGATTACTTTGAATGAGTTTTTTTTTTTTTTCAAATTTCCGAATTGTACTGAATTTGGGTTTGATGATTGACATACTGCGAAGGATTTGTCTTTTGTCACGCTTTCGCGTATCTGATGATTTATGTGTATTAATGTGGTTTTTTGTGGTTCCGTCTGGAGTTTCCTATCGGAGAGATTTATGTATTCGTGGTAACTGAATGCCCGGGACTTGAAGGTTTTAGAGGGAGTGAGAATAAAAATGCGAAGCCCTTATTGACGAAGTTTCCGCAATTATCTCGTAGGTCGTTCATCTCGAGACGACGGTATTTCAAATTGAAAGGAAAGTGATGGCTTTTTCATGCAATATTTCAATTCCTTTCATTGATTTATGGTTCTTGGAACACAAAATTCAGGGAATGAGTAAGCAAATATCGATCACTCACGCTGGATGTAGACATATATGTACTTCATTGCTAGGAAGCAGCTTAATGCAGTTGTAGTTACGCACAATTTTCGATTATACTGGCTTGATTTGATCGTACGTTTTTGGGCGGTCCTGAAATTTTGTGAGAATCAGTGTGGCCTGTTATGCACACCTTAATTTTAATATGAGCTGCTTCATTCTCCATGTGATTGCGCCAATTATTTGTATGGATATGTCCTGATAGGTTTTTTTTTTCAAAGTGAACAATTTTAGGGTTTGTTTTATACCTGCTATCTACTTTTGTAATGCTCGCAGCATGATTCGAGTAACAATACCGCACAGTAGAATCCTGTACTGCGTTGTTGCAGTATAGATCCGTCGTGTTGAAACCTGCATAATTCTTCTCCATTTGTGATGAAACTCAAATGATCACTTACGTGAATACAGTATATACTTCATGGACTTAAAAAAGGCTGTGACGATCTGCTGCCGGGATTATATTGCATTTTAGCAAGTTATTCAGGTCCAAGCCCCCTTCGCTGATTTGCATTTAAACTGAATAAAAGCATTCACAATTTTCAAGATCAAGAGAAAATCTGTCAGTAAATTACTTGAAATATAAAAATACATCTGCGTCTTGATCTTCTCATCAACGGAATCTATCTCATCCGCAGATGGTAAGTAGGGAAGCTACACCTTCCGACAGCATAAATGAACCCAGCCTCGGACCGAATGACATACTTGAGGGCAAACGCTTTTATACGCATAAGGAAAATCGGATTGGTTGAACAGCGTTTGGCCTGCTGAATGATTGATGAATTGCTGTCTTCTTCACGAAGTGCCGGTTAAGTAAAATACGTTCTTTATGCTGGACCTGAGATTGTGCGTTGAGCTGAAATCACTCTGAATGTGCGGAATGTCGGACCTGGTCGCAGCATCCTATATGGTAGGTTGTTGCATTGCGCATTTCTTTCTGCTTAAATTTTTGAGAAGAATTCTGTTGAGAAAAATCTTGGTGATCAGACTAGGAAATTAATGTCAGTATAATTAAATTGTGATTTCTAATTATGTTAGGATGTTGCATGCATCAAGAGGGTGGGAAATCATGCATGTTGATTTTTGGGTAGCATTAGTTTTGTTTTCATTAAAATTGCTCCAAAAATCAAGCCAGAAATTGGGGCTCTGGTAGCTCCCAAAGTTAGGCTCTTGGTGATGTCACAGCTTTGCTGATGATGTCACAGGCTCTGCCTGTTTTTCCCATGGAAGCTGAGCATCCAGTACTGGATGCATGGCATTGTTGCCAAGCCATACAATGAGGGAGGCATTTTACCATTGAAATGGATAAATTAAAAAAAAGGTTTTGGCAACTTTGATATGCATGAAATCTCCTGCATTTTCTGGAATCTTCCATCATATTCTAGGAGATTCCTTCCTCAGGAATTGAGAGGATTCCATCTTGTTGGATGAATCCTCAGTTGATCAGAAGGTCTTGTAGTGAGAAGTTGATTTTTGCAGAGCTCTGTTTGTGATTTTTTTCATTTAACTTGGTGGGTTTTTTGGGAAACTGTATAAACAGTAAGATGACGCGGTGTTATATAATATTGTACATTGAACGCATTTTAGAATAAATTTGATTCTATATGCAGACACAACATGACTATGCCGAAAGTTTCCTCTTGCGTCAGCATGATTTCCTCAAATAATTTTTGTGTTCAACCATTTTGTATACTAAAACACTATACCACTGAATGCTCATCAAACACATTATTATTCCTGCTTCTTTGTGGCTGTGAAATTTTCCTTGGGTTCGAGTGAGAACAGTTCTCAATATATTTTCAATAGTGATTATTCTCGCAGGCGTTCTTGTGCGCGGATATGATCCTGTGGAGTGGTGTGTCATTTGTCTCTTTCACTTTTGTAATTCCAATAATTCTTGCATCATGTTTTGTGCTGGCCAGCCTTATCCAGCATTTGCGAATATCCTTCGACAAACGGGGTTTCAATCCAACACCACCTACCGGTTAGTCATTATAGCGCTTTTGAGTAGACAATGTACCTCACTGCCCTTTAAATATATATATGTATATATATATATATACTGTATATATATGCAAGCACAGTATACAGTACCGTAATATAATGAGGTTTCGGAAATATTGTAGTACGTCCGAATACTAACTTTATCTGTGAACGATATCTTCAGATTTTGTCATTAGCTGGCGGCAGCAGGCAATGAATCATGAATATCGATTATCCTTATAATTTATGTTCAGTAAAATGGGCTGATGTAGAGTCCTGACAGCATGCTGTCTTGGGCATTGTTCAATGAGTCATTTTATGCCAATATAGAACCTCATGACTGGACTACCACCACACTTCTTTTTTTTTTCAAAAAGATGAGGCGGAAAAATAAAATAGGATGCGCGTGGTACTCCGGGATAAATTTTTCCGGAAAAAAAAATCCATAAAACTAGTAACCCTTACACATGGAAGTACAGTACAATAGCTGCACATCTATAAGGGAAGGAGTGTGAGCTTAGGATTAGGGTATGCGTGGCGCCAAGTCTCCTTGCCCATGGTAAATAATGGTTCAATCAATAAAGATTTCAGGAATGGTGTGCATCAGTTGGAGATGCAACAGGAAATGAAGGAAGAGGAAAATATCCATCTAAATGAGGAAGCTGTCATGTATTGTAAACACATTTTAACTGCCCCTGCTGACAATAAAAACAGGAAAGACAAAGTATTGATGTGGAAAAATGAATTCACATTTGTATAAAAGCCCTATTTGTTGATTTGCAGCAACAACAAAAAAAAGGGTGCAAGTCTCGCAAGGGTATAGGTTTTTGTCTCCATTGTGGGTATAATTTCTCCCCAAAAAATTGGGGTGCCCACCTTATTCAGGTGGGCGTGGGACTGAAACAAACATGGGGTAATATGTCATATGCATAATTTGATTTTTCAGTCGACCCCAGCTGCGGTTGACGTGTATACTTTGGTCAATTTAATACAAACTTCATTTTGTGATATTGCTGTGATGGGCATCTTTGTTGGATTGTCCAGTTATGTCATGAAGTTATGTCGTCGGGATGGCGGTTCACCCGCTTGAAGAAATTAAAAGTCGACGTTTTGAAGACTGCTGGGCTAACCTCGCTCATGAAAGACTGATAATTCATCTCCATTCCGGGGTTGTCGACTTGTCGTTCGTCGAAGTTGTTTCATTTATTTTAACTTTTATTATACCTCTTCTGGTTGCACTTTTTCTAGATGCTTACTGGCCGACATTGGCAATTTTGGGGGATATGCTGTATCAGACATGTCTCGGAGCTCACCGGACGAGACTTGAATGCATGATTGAGAAAATCCTGCGACGATTCAATCATCCAGTTGCTTGGTATGTTTCTCCGCTAAGCTTGTATTAACGCGTGGTTAGTTTCTTCTCAATTCCTAAAAGATCGAACCATTGCCTTCTAGTTTACGATTGGCCATGAAGAAATACGTTCTTCTCAATGATGCCGACGCTATCCGTACAATCCTTCGTTCGGAAAATTGCAACGCTCGTCCAAAATTGTTTTTCCTTGATTTTTTCTTCAATTCAAGTGAGTTCTTAACAAAGTTGAACGGAACTGCAGTGGTTTGACAAAGTTATAGCCTTTCTTGCATTAAAGTTCATTCAGGGATTTCTCGGAATCCTGATTTAATCGTTATACTATACACTGTATACAGTATAGATTTCTTCTTTATATTTTTTTAACGGTATGTACACCGCGAGCGCAGTTATCTTAATCATCACGCTCCATTGACGAATTCCCCAATGCTTCAACATTTTCCTTTCGATATCATTACAGTTCAATGAATTTCAGCGAGTATAGGTAGAACCTTTTCCCTGTGATGCTAGAAAATGCTGGTTCCTACTATGATCAGAGCTCAAACGCAGCCGTATCCCCTGGTGTATGTGTTGTAATTAACAGGAGTATTGAGGCAATAGCTCCATAATACTGTACAAGAAGTATTTATTTTTGCTTTTGCATCATAAAAAATAGTGCCTATAGGAAAAAAGTCCAAGGCATATACAGTATTATTTATACAGTTGCCATGTGAGATACTTTTTACATACCAATGATTACGGTAGATTGAAACACGATCTGAGCTTTCTGCTGGGAGAAACGGATAAATTGAAAAAATCATTAGTCGAAGATTAGGATTACGCATATGACGACTCTTTTCATGAATTTACATGTTAACAGAATATATTCCATCGCTGCTATAATCTTATTCTATAGACTTGATCTTCGAGATAATCAAAGTATAGTAATTCAAGATCAGTCTTTCTTTTTTCCACGTTGGTTTCTGCGAACGTTCTTTAATCGGTCTGTTTTCTTTCGGTTCGCCATCAATCAGCAGTTGAACGACTTAGTTATTTGTCTAAAGGTATCTTTATATTTGCCGTATTATGTGCTGGGAATTGATTTTTCAGGTATCTCGTCTCAAAGCGGACAACGGTGGATTGAACTACGCAAGTTCAACAGCCAAGCATTGATCCAGTTCGGCACATCTCATGCAGATTTTGAGGCCTTCCTAGATTCTGAAATAGCAGCACTTCTAGAAGTGATGAGTCAGAATGCCCTGCATCATACCAGTTCCCAGCAATCCAGACATTCATTGGATAAACTCACCTTTGATTTCAAGCACTATCTTCACGGGTTCTGCGTGAACATTCTTATGTGGATCACTTTTCGTAAGTTAACTTCAGTTATTCTTAATTTTATCTGCGATTTAATTTATTTATGGCATATATTTTCCTATTTTCAACTCCGAGTTCAGAATGCTTCCCGTATGTAGCAGCAAAAAAGTGTTTTTATATTCCATTACTCCGTGCAGTTCCCGTTGAGCCATTGAACATATCCTTCGAAAAATATCAATTATTGCGTTCAGTGTTCTAATCATGCAGCAGTGGCCTTGACATGTTTCAACAGGACAACGGATGGACTACCATTCGCCACAGTTCACGGAATTCATTGAAACCACGTCAGAAGTTATATCTACTGCAGGCATCATCGGGTATCTGGATGCTGGACCCAGCTGGCTTTTGAAAGTGCTACCGGAAAGAATTTCAGGAATGCGGCAAGCCAAGAAATGCCGGAAGATCATCGAAAAATTTCTTTTTGTAAGCAACCATCAATTCTGATACTTTTAATTATTCTTGGTTAATACGTAGTTTAAATTTCTGCAAAATCAAATTGTTGTTTACATGTTGAAGAACATCCTGAAGAAAGAGATTAACAACAGATTACCGGGTCAGCCGAGACATGTCGCTGACACTGTCGCTGACAAGCTGGTGTCTTACGAAAAAGCTGATTTCACCGACAGCGGTGAGCACAGAGAATTTTTGAAAAATATATGTATATTCCGACTTCAATTCGGTCGTGTGTCCTGAGTTTTGGTCATCATGATTCACTCTTGAAGTTTTTATAAATTGGTGATCACAATAATGCATGTATAGTACAGTACTGTTAACTTATGCAGGTACAAGTATATTTGAGTATTTTCTGCAAAAATTTATGAAATATCCACACTATCTGCATCCTGAAACTTAATGGGACCTTTTTTCTTGTTTTGAATCTGACGGTGAATTCGTAACTCAATTTCAAGATTCTGGTGTCATAAATTTACTGTACCTCATATATGTACTGTAGTTCCTATATAGAGCCGCCCTCTACGTGTGGATTGCTTATATATTCATCAACAGATGAGGGGAAGATGGCATATTTTCAGAAAAGTCAGTTTGCAAGGAAATATGTGCTTTCCAATAAATGTGTAAAATTTTGATGGCTCTTTTTCCTTCAACAGATCTCTTTGTTTGATTTTTTAAAGGTAGACTCTCCACCATGAAATTCAAGGGACCAGAAAAAATTTGCTGTTGAGAAAATTTTGTTGCAGAGAACCCTTATAATATGAGTAGGGAATCCTGTGGGACCCAAAAATGCCTTGTGCAGAGAAAATCGCCCTATATAGAAGGTCCACATCATGTGCTGTATATTTGTGGAATCAATTGGATGCAGCTATAACATAGAAAAAATAAGAATCACATTTTCCGTTGTTGCAGTAGTCAATTCCAGCTATAAATTATCGTTACATTCCTGCTGTTGTAAATTCGTATACCGTAATTGAATTACCTTCGCAGAAATACAGGAACTCTTATTGCCACACGTGAAGGATCTAGTTTGCTCAGCTGACACAGCAGGGACAGGGTTGAGTTGGAGCGTCATCTATTTAGCATCTAATCCAGAATGCCAGGAGAAAGTCCACGCCGAAATAGATGCCTCTTGCAGTTCTCATCCTCGACAAATACCTTCCTATAGAAAACAACGAGAAAAGTGAGTCAGCAACTTAACGGAATCCCCGCGATATTAATTGAGAGAAAATCACGGGTGAAATTGAGAAGAGATGGGGCGTTCACGGCTGGAGTGTTCATTGATTGTCTGCTGTTGAAAATGCACGCTACATGAAATCACGTCGGGCCTGTGTTTTGTATTCGTCGTGGCCTGCTTGAAAATCACGAATTTGTAAAAATTGAATTTCAGAATGCCGTACACGATGGCAGCTATTCAAGAGGCTCTGCGTTTGTCGTCCCCAGCTCCTTTAGGCCTCGAGCACTATGCTAAAGCGGACTGCCCGTTCTCCAAATTCACAATTCCCAAGGTGAGAATAATGAGCTTCGTTGCATAGAATATGCTTGTGCGCGAATAAAGCTTCATTTATTTTCTATTTTATCAACGCCTTATTAGTAAAGTAGTGACGGTGCTTTGACTCCTCTTTAAAAAACAAACAAACAAAAACTGCTGGGTAATATGTGTGCATCATTTCAAAATTTAAAATATTTCCCAATTTCGTAATATTTATTAGTGATAATCTTAATCACTATTATTCTTAATCCTTATATGCCAGAAAAGCGTAATGATGGAAGTTTTTCGCTGCCCGAAAAATAGTTTAGTTTTTCATCTAGAATGGAGTGAAGTTTATGCAAGCAATTAAAATAAAGCATCATATAAGATTAAATGTGGTTTTTCCGTAAAATCGTGTGAAACGTTTTATACTGCATGAGTAGCCCAACTGTCTCGAAAAATGTATTGATAAGGCGTTTGTAAAGGCCAGATTTTAATCCTTTTATGGATTCTATGACGCATGGAAAACAGCGTCAAAATTGGTAGCAAGAAAATTTCCATCATGTGAAAAAAATTGTGAATCTTTTCCCGATGTTGTCAAGCTTTTCTACTTCCGTCCGCGTATGTATACAGCAGCTGCTTCGATGGGAATTACTATAGTAAATCTTAGTATTCATCATTTAATTGTTCAAATGTTTTTGGACTAATCCGTATAAATCTCAGAGCTAAAACTTTTCTCTTGCGTTGATGTAGGGAACTTCGATTCTTACGAACATCTATGGCGTGCATAGAAATGAATCTGCGTTTCCTGAGCCGGAAAAGTTTCTTCCAGAAAGATTCCTCTGCACATCTACGGACTCAAAAATCTCACTAGTTCAAAGCGACTCTTTCGTTGCATTCAGTTCTGGTTAGTTTACTACATTATATAATATCTTCGTCGAGTTTTGTTCAGATTTTGATTCTACGTTTCAGGAAAGAGGCGCTGCCTTGGCGAACATTTGAGTTGGCATATCCTTTTTAAAGCAGTGTGTGGAATTCTGAGCAATTACAGTTTGTCCCTGGAGGGTGAAGAACAGTGTATCGCTCTTGAACTCGATCCAAGGAGTACCTTCATCCGATCACCGCGTCGGAAAACCGTAACGCTTCGTCGCCGACATCATTGACGCATTTATGATTTATCTCCAATAAAGTTGTATCCTTATGTTTAGTTAACTGTTAGAAATAAGTACCGTATTGTATTGTTGAGCAGTGTCGAAAGAAGAAAATTTGACTGCCTTTCGAGAGCGATTATGAATCCCAGAACTGCTGTCATGACCGCAGAGGGCTTCCACGCGGAAGATCCGCGTTCGATCATTCCACCTTTTGCTCTTGGCCTCGTTTCGGCTTCGTGCTGTGTAGGGTGTATAACGAAAAATAAGGAAAAGAAACCACCTGTTGAACAGAATGAACGAACAATAGATTGATTTTTTTCTAAATAATGGATGCCTGCTGCTGTAATCGTCTTCCGAATCATCATTCTAAATTTCGTTATGACTGCTTTTTTGTCAGATCAAAATTCATTTGTCATCACATACCTCATGCATTTTTGAATTAAACATGTCTGAAGTTGATATCCTAATATTTCATAATCAAACTGAATTTAATTTTATTCAACTCGTGTACAAGTACTCTCATTAAAATAAGTTGCCTGCTATTTACGTCAAACTTGAATGCAGTAAGGTATGTACATACTGTATATAAAAGAACTGAACTGTACAATGATATTCAAGTGACGGTATTTTCTCGAAGATATAAGGCATCACCATAGTTGTATAGTACACACCGCAAGCTAAATTTTGAGAGGATCCTTTTTCAGTTTGTTGCATGCATATAGTCACAGCAGTTTCGGCATTTGCCTCAAATAATTGTAATGCTCATTGCTGTGGTATATTTTTATAGGAGGAATTTCAATGAGCCGAGGTGATTGTCTCCATCAGTTCACTCTTTAAATTTCTTCGAAAAACAAAAACATTTAAATCATATTGCGACGAAAGACTATTACTATTCCGCGCCACTGTTGGAGTATTGTGAAATTAAAGCCGGATATTTATCGTGATTATGATTATTCAGGACTGTATAGGAACATTAGATTGAAGCGCTATACTCGTACTGTATAGCGGAGAAAACGAGGTTGGGAAATCGTTCCAATTTTTTTCTTCTGTAATCTCGAATGTTAATACTGTATGAACTATATTTGCACGTCTTGAATTCGTACGGAGTTATCGTGAATTTAATGTAAATGTACCCCCGGTGCAGAACTGTTGAAATAAAAACACGCAGTAAACACATGCAAATCTAACGTAGCATTTATTCCGGTTCCGGGACGCCACGATGTTTTCTTTTTTTTTAGAAGTACTGTACTGCATGGCTCTTTTTTATGAAACATAGTTCTGCAACGCCTGCTGTGATCTGAGAATATATGTGATCAAAAATGTGCATTCTTCATTTTTTCTCGTTTATATGATCGTGGTCGAGCTTCTCCGCTCATGATGATGTTTCCCCTTCTTGCATGCGTGGAGTCGTGCACAGCTGTTGGACCCGATTTGTGCCCGAAACGCGCGGCGGGGATCGGAAAGAAGGTCGCGGAAAAGGAAACGCCGCTCGAGATTCCACGAGGATGAGGTGCGAGTTCGGGTCACGTTTCCGCCGCGGCCAGGTATGGAAAAAGGCGCCACTCGAGTCATATCCGGCCCAAACTCCCGGCGCGGTTTCAGAGATGATTTACTCCTCGCATCACGCGTTGCACTGTTATCGTCTTGGCCCACCGAACGGCAATCTTCACACCGTAATGAAACAAGGTAACGCTCGATTTTATGCTTTTTGCGTTATTTTATAGGCGGGGACTGTTCCCGTGTTCCGCAGATACGTTACGACGAAACGAGCTACAGCTGAATTTTTTTATGAGGCCGTGGTTGGATCGTTTTTTTTTTTTTCAGAGAACTTTTGAAGTGCAGTAGCTATACAGTATATACAGTATATGGATGCATGTTTTGCCGTAAATCTTTTTCAGGGCTCCATTGTCTCGAAAAAAGGCGCCGCGAAGAAAAATCGTGATATCGATCATTATTGTCAAGTTCGCGGCCACCTTTGCTCCATATACACTCATACTTTATGTTCGTCGATCAGCACTGAGGCTTTCGAGGTTCGAAGCAGAAAAATCAATTTCATTCATGGATATTTATTGACCGCGTTCTCACGAATCATGATCCTTTTTTTAATAAAGGGAATCTCATCTCTATACCGGATCGAAATACAGTGAATTTTACTTTGGTCTCTAAAATGCGATTCACGAGAAAATGTGATCACCAAACATGTTTATGTTATGTTACTTCCTTATGTACCGCGTAAAGGTATTTCTTCGAAAATATTCCACGTCATTTTCGATTGTTTGTGCAGCTTCTCAAAGTTGTTAAGGTGCTCTAAATTTTTAAAATTCCCCTTCGCTATGTTGAAATGAGTCGAAAAATTGGATATTGATGCACGAATGGAAGCTTAATTTATGCTGGCGCCAGTTTTTACTTCTAAGTGACCGGGCTTCTTGTTCAAAATTTTTCAAATTGAAATGGCATCTGTCGCGAAGCTGGTCATAACTTTTTGCATCGTCATCCAAGTACCTTTAATTATCTCTTCAACTGCTGCCATTCCTACTGAATATCGTGCTGTCCGGCGAGGCACCTTTTAAATTATGCATCGTTTAAAATATTCGCAATTTTGAAATTTAAAATGTATGACTCAAGTTCGAAAAAATGTTGATGCTATCATGACGTTGATATTTCAATAGTTCTGTAAGCATGGCACTGCAAGGACAGCAAAGAAGAAAACATAAGCGTAGAGACAAAATGGCTGAGTAACCTCGTTAAAATCCATTACAGTATTTATGTTTTTACTAGCTGTACTGCATTTCTTGTTTTATTTTTTGCTGACGTCTGAGGGGAAAAGTGCAGCATTGCAGGTAAAAAAATATAAAAAATACGGAAATGCAAAGAAAAGATTCCAAGTCCATCTGAGAATAAATTATGATTATTCGGACGCCGCGTGTGAATTTGGAAGATTATTATCTTCGCTTTCTCGAAGACTCTCAGCTAATAAAAAAAAATTCGTGAATAAAGATCTCAGATTTCATCCGCCAAGTATTCCTTTGATTCACTGGCAATTTTCAATAATGAGGAAAAATTGTTTCTGTTTCCGTGGGGGGTTCCAAGAGGACAAGAAACCAAAACAACGTGGTATGGTTGCAGGGGAATAACGTTATGTTCTGAATATACGTAAGCCGGTCAATGCTGTTCAGTCCTGAATCGCTTTGCATGAACACAGGGTATAAACTGGGTCGAAAACAGAATCCCCTAAGGAGTCATGGTAATGGAATGAGCTATTGGGAAAGTATATATGTTCGGCTTCATTTCCTCTAATTTGTGCAGTAAATGCCTGTACTTTTTCTGAATAGTACTCTTCCTCCTCTGTGGGTTTTTTTCTTCTTTCCAATGAAACACTTCGCATTTTTTTTAACTACCATCAGGTGAACCTCGATAACTCGAACCCCCCTAAATAGACTTTTTTCCAGATCCCCATCTGCATCCTCTTAGAAATAATACATTGAAATCCTCCTTAAGTCAAAGGGTTTCCCCCTCAAACCTCTGTAAGTCGAATTTTCTGTAGCCTTTTGGCTGTTATTTTATTTACACAAGAAAGACAAAAAAAAACCAGAAATTGATGCATTTTGAGAGGAAGTGAAAGACTTAATTGGGCAAATGAACCCCTGTCAACAAGTTCAGCATCCTTTCAACTCATTTAAGAAGCAATTTAAGCCCCAGAATACCATCATTTAAAATTTTTGGAAAATTTTCTATGCTTCCCAGATAAAAATAGCTTTGTATTGTAGCTCAAACCTCTATAAATTGAAACCTCCCTAAGTCGAATTTTTTTGCTGGTCCCTTGAAATTCGACTTTAAAAGATGCAACGTATAAAGATTGTGCATCAAAAAAATTAAAAATCACCGGAACATGAACTGCATATATGAGAGAGACAATGCAATTGTGATGACAAATTTCAAGAGCTGAGTTCAGCAAAGGTCGTCCTTTTGCACCTGCTGTTAAAATGTTCGGTCCTTTAAATATGATATCGTATGCTTATTGTTTACAGAGTTTTTATCAGCAATTATTGCCCATTTTTCAGTGTGTACTTCTCTTTGATTTTCATTAGTCAATATTTACTCTTTACTGCGTGGCATAAGCCTCCATTCACTTTAAATTTGAAAATCGAATTTCGTAATTGACTTCTGTGGAATGTTTTACGTGTGCTTCGAGTGATTTTTTTTCCTGGTGTGAGAGGGTGAAATAAGGGACGTCGCGTGAAATACAAGTGTTGCTGTTGGAATTTCAAAATGTATTGATTGCCGCGTGAGATTTTTCAGAGTAAGATTCACAAACAAACATGTGGTGTGAATAATATTACTTGATATTTTTTCTATTCTTCCATGATGGCAGGTTCCGTACGTGCTTGTACATATGTTCTCGCCGAACTCGAAAGTTTCACACGCAGAACAATTTTGTGCATTAAATTTCCTCAACGCGCTCAGTTTTAGTTTTGAATGGAATGTTGGATTCAGTGATACGGGTCGGGTCGACTGCCTAGGAAAAAAAAAATGAGCTGCTTCTTTGCTGCACAGTGCGTTATTCCGTATGATTGGCACGCTGCTGTGGTTCATCGCCGCCGCCGTGAGCGGGCGACAAAGACGGAGAAGCCGGAAAAAAAGGGACGCCACTTTCGGTAGGTACCCTCCTTCCATTTCATTTTCTGCCCGATCCGTAAAAAGGAGGATGACGTGGAGTTATTACTCGGAAACCGATGAACGGACTTTCTACAGCTGTCGTGCTGCTTTGCTAAGCTGGCCGGCGGCTGCTCTGGCAGTTTCGTGACGCGTATACAATATATACAAGGAAACCGCGCTCGGATGCGGTTGATGATGACATAATTGAAAGTAAACGCGGCACTTCGAAATCTCTCTCTCTCTCTCTTTTCCCCCATTCTTGTGCGTGTGTCTTGCTAATCCTCAATTTGTGTTACGAAGAAAGGGTTTTGCGCGGATCCGACCCAATTGAGTTAGTATATAGTAGTTGCATGACGAGTTTTGTAAGATACGCAACGTCTACGTGATTATAGGACGACGTCCCAGCGTTTTATTCCGTGATGACGCGTAATGCCGTGATTTTCCCGTCTTAGCTCATCTTTTTCTGCAGCAGTTGATGAGTTCGCGGTGATGATGTGTGCTGGGGCCAGGCCAGATGCTCGCCTTTTAAATCCGCGGTGAAGAATTGAAATGGATTGTTGCCGTGAAATGTTAATTATAGCTCTTTACGCTCTCTCGGGTTTATTTAAAGACGAATCTCGTGCAAAGAGTTACGAAACTATAGGAGGGATGGGTGAAACAAATTCGTGGCAGTAAGTTCTTGGGGCATTCACGTTTTTTCAGTCAGAATCTTGCTAATGACTGTCGTGGGATGTGGAAAAAGGGCTGAGAAGACTGCCTGAATTAGCTTTAAAAAAATTTGCAGTTAAAATGCAATTGCGGCCTTATGATATGCTGCTAACGAATAATCAACACTTTGTTGACCTCTTCATGTGCAAAAAACAGAAGTTGGATTCTCCTGAGAAGTTGTCCCCATTTTTGATAAAGTAAGATATGTGAATAAAGCTATAGTGGCAATTCCCCAGCATCCAAATCCAAAAATTATTTGCAATATTTGCTATACACATTGCATAACTTCTCATACTATGAACGTATTTTATTAGAACATGAATGCCATGTCATCAGGGATATTTTTCCATGAACATAATATCACGATTGTTTTTTTAATTGGTAGCAGTAAGGCTCTGCTGTCAATTCATAAAAAATAAACCATATGTATAAGGGTTAAACCTTTTAATTTCTGCTGAAAGCGATAGCGTGCTTTTTCAACGACTTGGTATTTTCTTGATTTTTAGTTCAAGTGAGGAACAACTGTAATACAGTAGTATTCTGCAAATGGTTTTATTCTGTGATCCGTGATCCTAATGCAAATAATTGATGTATTATTTTGTGGTTTGGAGTCCCCTTTAAGCAGTTAAAATCCTGCGGAAGTGTATTTTCATGCAATTTTACGATTGATAGCGGCTGGTTATAAGAAGTGGAAGACTTCATTGGATTCAAATGGGAGAGGAAGTCTTACAAGAAAGAGAAAATCATATATTAAAAAAAGAGAAAATCATATATTAAAAAAAGAGAAAATCATATATTAAAAAAAGAGAAAATCATATATTAAAAAAAGAGAAAATCATATATTAAAAAAAGAGAAAATCATATATTAAAAAAAGAGAAAATCATTTAAAAAAAAAATCAAACAGCCCTTTACTTACAAAATGCTGAATGATTGTACAGTATTTTACGATTAGAGTTTCCCTTTTGCGTGTCCGTTTCTTTTCTTCTCAAACTTTTTCAAGTCCGAGAAAATTTTAAATTTTTTCGAACTACTGTATAGTGGCATGAAAGCAGAAGACTCGCACATGTGTACATTACTTTATAGCTTCAATATTGTTACTCCGTCTCCAACAAATCAAATGATTTTTTTTTGTTCCCGCAGATAGTATGACTTGCAAAATTGGCCTTTATCTTCGCACATACCAGGTTCTAGAATTACATTCCTCGCTTTAAAAAAAAAAAGAAGAAAAAGTGTTTCCAGGCCCATCGGAAGATACTTTGCTTCTGCATTTCAATGGGTTTGTTTTCACGCCGCCGACACGCGCAGCCCGAATAAGGCGGAAGTCAGCGGTTTTCGAGAATAAAAAGAAACACAGATTCAAAATTGTTCTTAGAGGAACAATTACTGGCAAGCATGAATTTGCATGTGCGAGAAAG